ATGATAAAAAATAGGGCAATGCAGGTTTCCTCAATCGTGATTGCTATAAACATCTCTTGGGCGCCGCCAATGATGAAACAAAACACCGATGCTGCAATAATACACTGCAAGAAAAGAATGGGTGTTTTCATTGCATGTAACTATTTACCAGTAGCACACATCATCTGGCAGAGTTTGCTACATTTAATGTGATTATGCTGCAGTAGCCTGTATTTTAAGAAGTATATCTGTGTGTATGCAAGCTTGTGTGGGAGGGCATGATTGTGTTATAGTATGCATGCAGCAATCAGAGGTCAACCTCGGGTAAAAGGCTTAGCTTTCCACCATGTTTGGGACAGGGCCTCTTGCTGTTTGCTGCTATGTGTGTACTCAGGTCTACTCTCCTGGCTCTGCTTCCCATTTCACTGCAGGAATTCTGGGATTACAGACTGCATCCCACCTCATCCAGCTTCTGAATGGTTTCTGAGGCCTAACACTCAGGAGACCAAGCCTGTGCAGCAAACTTTTGTTCAGCGTCATCTTTCCAGCCCATGTCTGCATTGTTTTCCACAAATACTTTATTTTTAACATCGTTTTAAATTAACTATTTTTTTTTTCGGGACAGGGTTTACCCATGTAGCTTTGGAGCTTGTCCTGGTCTTGTAGACCAGGCTGGTCTCGAACTCACAGAGATCTTCCTGTCTCTGCCTCCCAAGTGCTGAAATTAAAGACTTCGCTATCATCATTACCCAGTGAAATTAACCTTTTTCTTTTTTCTTTTTTTTTTTCTTTTTCTTTTTTTTCTTTTTTTTTTTTTTTTTGCACTGAGGATTGAGCTCAGGGCACAGCATATACTGGCAAAGCATGTTACCACCGGGTTACATTCCTAGCTTGTATTTACAAGTTTTAATTAACTAATTATTATTTTCAATGCTAGGGATCAAACCCAGGGCTTTCATCATGCTAGGCAAACAATCTACTACTGAGCTACATTCCTAGCCCTACTTAAAAGTATTTTTTGAAGTTATATATGTAAATAAAGATTGAACATAGAAAAGTTTTTAAACTTCTTTCTTTTTCTCTGTCCAAACCTAGTCACTGTCTCTATTCTCAGATAAGATCTCACTATGCAGCTCTGGCTGGTCTCAAACTCACTATGCATTACAGGCTGGCCTCAAACTCAAAGGGAACCACCTGCCTTTGCTTCTGAGTGCTGGGAATAAAGGCATGTGCCACCTCTCCTAGCTAGTCTGTTTGCTGAAAAGAAATCACTACTACTGGTTTGTATTTCTAGAAGGAAATCCAAGTGTATATTGGTTAAATAAATAGATGATGATTTTGACAGAAATAGTAAGTTAGAACCTTGGTTTTCTTTCTGTCCAATTGATTACATCAGTCATTCACTGGGAGATGTTAGGATGTCCCCCAATGACCAAAAATGCAATCTTTGTTATGTATAAAATTCTCAGATGTATTTGTGTCTCTTTTGAGCCTATTTCTTTTCTTTATAAAGTGTGTGTGTGTGTGTGTGTGTGTGTGTGTGTGTGTGTGTGTGTCCACAGAGTCCAGAAGAGGGTGAGAGGGTGTCAGATCCCTGGAGCTGGAATTAAAGGGAATTATGATCCAACTGACTTGGGTGCTGGAAAGGGCCTGGTTAGAGTAGCAAGTGCTTGTAACTGCTGGCCTCCAGAGAGCTTTTCAAATGGTAGGGAGGCTCAGTTGTATCACACTACTCTTTGATCCAGTTCTCCAAGGTTTCATTTTCAGACTGTTTATGATACCCGTGATTATCTTGGTCGTGTTCCTACATTAACCCTGTTGGCATTTTCATTGGGATTTCCTCTAACTTTTAGTAACAAATTGTTGTTCTAGTGTGTTTTCACTCTGTAAAGCTTTAAAGTTTTGCTCTTATAGGTTTTTATATTTACTTTTTTGCCCAATATTGGTCATTCTGATTTCTGCAGTGAAGAGAAACATTTTCTTTTTATTTTGTTTTGGAGAAATAATCTTACTATGTAGCTCTGGCTGTCCTGGAACTTACTATGCAGTCTAGTCTGGTCTCTAACTTGCAGAGATAAGCCTGCCTCTGCCTCCCAAATGCTAGGATTAAAGGAGTGCATCAGTAAGCTTGGCTTCTTACATTTTAGTTATTTGTAGAAAATTTCTTAGTCTATTATTAATTTGATTGCCAATCAGCTAAATTATCTTGCTCTAATAGGTCTCCCAGTGGATTGAAATTTAATTATCATACCAGTGAAAGGAAATATATTTTTCCTCTCTTTAAGTATTTTTATTTCTTTTCCTTAATTATGATTAGTCATTCCAGAAAAGCCCTCACTAATGTTGGTTGGCATCACTTTTCTCCTTCATTTTAATAAGAACACTTGTGCTAATTTAACTGAAGGACTTGCTGATTTGGGGGTAAAGATGTTTAGCTTTATAATAGCAATTAAATCTCTATTCTTATTTTACAGGTCTCTTCCACTTCTTCCTGTCTGGGAACCAGAAAAAATGTTCAAGTTTTTCATATGTTCTTAAACACTCTTTGTTTTAATCTCATAACCCTTCCTTTATACTATGATGGGTTACTTTAATAGTTCTAATAGCAAATCATCTTTGTATTTCCTCTTTGTGGTATATGTTTTAAAAATCAGATGGCTATCTTTTCTTAATATGGCAACATCTTTTCTGTTCTGCTGAGCCATCCTAGGAGCTCACATGTGCTTAGCACCCTGGGCCTGAATACTAATCTTTGCTTTGGTGCTGTGAGGCCTCTATTCTGTTTGCTTCTTCTAACACTGATCAAGTTTTGATGTCAATGTTAGACTGATTTTGTAAAATAATCACTCAAAAAGGGATGGGGATTAAGCTTATGTTGTCTGGCAAGTGCAAGGCCCTGGATTCAGTCATCAGAAAAAAAGAAATCATCCCAAAATGGTTGCTTATTAAGAAAGCTTGAGTATCATCAAAATGGTATCTTGTGAGCTGAAAGAGCTGTCTGGTCTGATTCACTTTTATAATTATAAAGCCCATTTGTGTTTGTGTGTTAGGTGGGGGAGAAGGTATATGTGGAGGTCAGAGGACAACTTACAGGGGATGTTCCTTTCCTTCCACCATGTGAAGTCTGGGAATTGAAGTTTGGTCTTCAAGATTGGCCACAGCAGCATTTACACACAGAGACACTTTACAGGCCTCTTGCTTTTCCTCTGCTTTTATGTGGTGCTCTGTTTGCATTTCTCTGTTTTGGGGTCAGTTTGGGTCATTAAACTTTCATTCCCAGAAATTTTATGCCCCCATCAGCAGGTCCTTTCCCCTTCAGTGATGTGGAGCAGATCTGCTGTCCCTCCCCCAACCCCAGGTCTCTCATTATGTCTATGTCCAATCTTCCGTTTTTCATAGATTATTGCCTGCTCTGTATGGTTTGAATAGGTCTTTTAGATAGCAGTTCTTACCAGTTCTGTTTGCTAATTTATAACTTTCTTCTATTTACTCACTGCTTTTCTACTTTCACTTGTGAGGGGAAACCCTAGGAAAAAAAAAGAGGAGAGGGGGGAAAACTCACCAATTTAATGCTGAGAATTGTGTGATGTTGGGCCCATGGTGGCACCAGCATTTAGATCCAGCACTCTGGAGGCAGAGGCAGGCAGATCTCTATGAGTTCAAGGCTATCCTGGTTAATATAGTGAGCTCCAGGCCAGCTAGGGCTATGTTAGTGATACTCTGTCTCAAATAAAAATAATGATAATGATGATGATGATGATGATGATAAGTGTTGGCGACAAGAAAGGGTGCAGAAAACTATAGTAAAGGGAACTGCAGAGACCTTGTTCCACCAGTATCTTTGCACTCAACTCTAGAGGCCACCACCCTCCCTCTACCCATTCATCCGGCTGGGCAGCTTCTGCTCACCATCCTCAAGACCTTCAATATTCCAGTAGGTGAGAAGAAAAAATGCTTGAAGCTGTCTCTGAATCTTTCGGGAACCTTGGCCCGGCCCTCAGCGCGTTTTTTGACTGATGCATGTACCTTGATTTTCTTAGACACCTGGACAGGTGGGGTCGGTGCCGCCTTATGGCTCTGGGTGGGCTTCTTTGGTGGTACTTTGGTGGCACTCTGCTCTCTGTGCACTGACTGTATAGACCTACTAGATGGTGTGGCGCTTAGTGGAGGCCCCTTGTGAGATGCAGTAGAGGCGATAGACGCCAGTGACTCAGAGCGTGAGCGGCTGGGAGAGTAGCTGGACTCACGTCTGGACTCACGTCTAGACTCACGCCTGGACTCACGCCTGATGGATGCAGGATTCATGGTGCATCCCAAGCCCGACTGTCAGGCTGGCTGTGGTGCTCCAGTCAGCGCCCGTCCCCTGGGGAACCAGCGTCAACGGCTGCTGGCAACCTACCCGCGTGCACCTGCTCTTGATGGCTGCCGCCTAGTGTAGAGTCTGGTATCTTTGTGGTGATCTGGGGGAAAGGCATTTGCCTAGTTTGTAACTCCAGAAAAGGTACCCACAGAAGCTGCTGCCAGGTAGCCCAGAGGAAAGAGGTTCTGGAGTCATTTGGGGGTATGGTTGGCCAGATCTGAGCCATATACAGTAAGGCTGCCAGCCGAGTACAGGGTGAAAAAATATGTCACGTTCCCACACCACCTAAGGGTTTGTGATAAAACAACATGACCAAAAGCAACTCGGGGAGGAAAGGGTTTATTTCATCTTGCAGCTTGAGGACCATCATCCAGGGAAGTCAGGGGAAGAAGTCAAGGCAGGGACATGGAGGCAACAGCTGATGCAGAGGCCATGGAGGAGAGTGCTCCTTACTAGTTTGCTCCCCGTGGCTTGCCCAGCCTGATTTTTACAGCACCCAGGGCAGAGAGCTGGATCCTCCCACATCAGTTATCAATCAAGAAAAACATCAGAGGCATGCCAATTGGGAACATTTTCTCAATAAGGACTCTAGCTTGGGGCAAACTGACAGAAAACTAGCCAGCACACACATTGAAATTAAAAACAAGAATTGCAGAAAATATATGGAAGAATAAAGAAATATGTTTAATAACTGGTAAAAATGAATACAAATTATTCCCCGCTATGAGTAGCAGAACTTTTCAGGTAAGGTCCACTTGGATTAAAAAGAAGTTTCCGGCACATAAGGGCAGAGTCAGCAATAGCACATACTGTTGTCAGGAGACCAAACACCTACAAACAGAGACACTGTCATTAGCTTCTGCCACACAAATTCTCAGTGAGCTGCCTACTAGATTTCTTTCCTGCCAGGGTACAGAGCTTGTTCTCTGTGCTACTATGCAAAACTACAGTGGAAGGAACTGCTAAGTTTCTCTCATATCTACCCACAGTAAAGAAAAGGAAATTATAGTGATTAGAACTACCCAGGAGATGGAGTGGAAGTTGCCTCTCCCTCTTGGTTTGGTCTGGTACACATTCTTTAAAGCCCTACTGACTATATTTAACTATCAACCAACATTTCTCTCTCCAGTGGTCAGCTGTTTGATTTTTCTATCAGCATGCTTGACTGGGGTAAGAGTTGGTGCCGGCAGCAGATTAAGTCCTGGGAACCATAGTCGTGACACAAGTTTTGCAGGTGTGCTAAGATGCTCCACAGTACTACCAAAGTCTGAGCAATGTCCATGTAAGGCATAGGAGGTTAGATAGGCCTGAGCAAAATAAAACTGAGCTAAAGGGAAATGAAGCAAATTGCAGTTCCACTGCCAGAGAGATATAGCTATTCCCTCTCTCCTGGCCTGGGCAGCACTCCATTAGTGGCTTATCTACCACTGGCTGCACTCCAGCTCCTGTGTTAGGCTCTGAGCAACCCGAGGCTAGTTGAGATGGGTCAGCCCAGTAGCACATAATAAGATTTCCACAGCTTTTATTTAAAAAGAAAAAAAAAAACAAAAACAAAAACAAAAAGGTGAAATTTATTTTAATACATTTATTAGCTTAACACATCCAAAATAGTATCCCTTTACAGATCATTGCTATAATGAAAGTTACTAACGACATATTCTATGTTCTTTTGCAGAAGTAATATGACCTCTGCAATTCAAAGCAAATTCTATATTCAGAGCTTATCTCAAGTCATACTAGCTCCATTTCCTGGGCTCAGTAGCCACATAGCTACTGGCTGTTTTGCTGGCCCATAGTTCTATGTTCTCAGCATTTAAACAATAAGTAAATGAAAGAAGAAACCAGTAAGTGGATTGGAGTTCTATGACTGGCTTGTCTTTTTTTCATACTAGACAGATAAAATTGTCTTTGAAGCAATTGGAGATTGGTATTTCAGCATACCTAATTTCTAGAAAAATTATATATTCTCTTATGAAGTGGCTTAGTGCCTAGAGGGGTTGAAATCTAGGATTCTGACAAACATGGCAGAGCATGGTCAGTTCTATAGAGCCCTTGCTAAGAAGGAACAAGGAAGTAGGAAGGAAGAATTTTGTAATTTGGTTCTCTCCATAACAGCCTAGAAAAGTTAGACCAAATCTCAGAAAATTGCCAGGTGGAGTATAATAAAATTACTGAATTCTTTCATTTTGACTTGCTTGTTAAGATCAAGTCTGACTAAACTGGCTTGCTTCCCTATAAGCAGTCCTCAAAATACCCTTTAGTTGAAAGGTTTCCTACCACATCCCTTGCAGTAAGGAAATCTATTACATTGCATCTGAAGACTTATGGGAATATTCAGTCTCACCAAGTTATATGAATCCTTTAAAAGAGAAACTAGGAAACCCACCCACCATATTTCTTTCTTTTTGTTTAACATCAGGTTTCCCAGAGCTAAGGGTTGTAACTGATTCTAGCAGCTTCTCTCAGTCTGGTATGGCTCTGTAAGAAACATGTAGGGACCTCTTTTATTTGGCTAACTCCAGTATAAAACCTTGTCTACTTATATTGATCAGGGAATGCATCTACTCATACAAACTATAAAGACAGTAGGCACTGTATGCCAGTCTAGAAGTGTCTGACATGGACACAGTGCAGCTTGTTGTACTTGTACTATATTTCCAAATGAATTTGCACTTTGATCAAACCTGAAGAAACCTCAAAGATTCCCCTCTACTTACTCCTCCAAGAACTGTCAATGTTGAAGGTTGTGGTATCAGTGCCAACACAGACACAATAAGCATGAATAATGTTGTTATCATTGAGTTGATGATATCCTAAAAACACAGAATAGAAAAGTCAGCTTGCTACCAAAGACCACCAAGGCTGGAAATACAGCTCAGACCCTGCATGGCTCTAGGTATTGGTTTTCATCCCTAGCATCATGGGGTTAGGGGAGATAAGACCAACAATTAGTGCTAAAAAAGGTGGGGGCAGCTCCATGAAAAATTTTAAAGCCACATTTTATTCAATTTAGCACACATCAATGTCTTTTAGGAAACTAAAACACTACAGTAAAATAACCCTATATATTTGCTTTACAGCCTACCTAATGGGTTTCTTATAACACTATCATTTAAGCATTTATACATGTATATACATTTCACTTAACATAGATACAGCTAGATGGTTTGGAAAAGCAGGTAACTATGCAAAAGGTTTAGAGCACAGAGGGTCCCATAGGAAGCTGGAATGCCTTTTTTTTAAAATAGGAAATGTGGAATAATTGGCTATCAAATAACTGTTACTAAAATGCAATTAATAAAACTGAAGCCAGGTGTGGTGGGTAATGCCTTTAATTACAGCACTCAGGAGTATTAAGGTCAGTCTGTTCTACACAGCCCCAGACCAGCCAGGGCCACATAGTGAAACCCTATAAAAAAAAACCAACACCCTCCAAAACTGAAAACAGCACATACTTAGAGTGGTAATTTCCAGGATGAACCCCACCCACATTTGTAATGCAGTGGCTTGCCAAATTATGTTATTTCATTTAATAATTTCCCCCAAATGAAGCATTCTAACAAGAGCAATTTACATTTTTAGATGAATGTGTATTTTAGAAAAATAAATTATCCTTATCATGGAATGGTCTATACACATTTGTAATAAATAGGCAGGAAGAGATTAATGAAGAAATACTAGATTCAAAGAAAAGAAAAATAGTTAAAAAAGAAAAAGAGGTTGACCCTAAGGAAGGAAGACAAAGTCACAGCAGACAATGAGACAGTTGTCTTGGTTAACTCTCCTTTGGCTGGATACTTTGCTCTGCTTCAAGGCAACAGGCCCTACTACCTCAGCCAGATGGCTGTTAATAGCTGTGAGTTAGGCAATAAATGGCGTTGTACAAAAGTGGTGTTTTAGTGCATAGAATCACTCCCATAGAGTGAGCTGGGAGGGGAGGGCATGCTTATTTCAGATTATTTATGCTCCCTAGTAGAAATTCAGAACATTGTGTTTGTTTATTTTCAGGCTGTAGCCCAAGCTTGTCTGGTATTCATCATGTAGCCTAGACTGATCTCTAATTCAAAGACCTCCTGATTCAGTCTTCTGCATGCTAAGATCATAGGTGTGAGCCACTGCACCCAACTTAAAACACTGTCTTGGTATTGAAAGCTCAATGTGCTGCCCAGGCCTTTAACCTCAATACTCAGGAGGTAGAGGCACACAGATCTCTGTGAGTTTGAGTCAGCCTGGTCTACTATAATGAGTTCTAGCACAGCCAGGACTGCTGAGTGAGACCCAAAACAAAACATAAAACCACGAACCTTCAATATGCTGTTAAATGGAATGCAAATTTAATTTTTTTTTAAAAAAAAAATAGTGATTTCATAGTAATTTTGAGCCTCAGAGCCCTGGGTTGGCTCCTTCATTCATGATCTGTCAAGGATTGCTAGAGAGGAACTGAGGCCTGTTCTACTGGTTATGTCAAGGCAAGGATACGCTGGCAGATCTGAGGGCAGACAATGACCAGTCTTTTAGTCAGAGGGTACTGGCTATGGGACATCAGTGTTTATCATTCCCCTCTGCTCCTTACAGAGCAGCTGTGGTCCTTAGCTTCTTTCTCCTTCACTTAATTGTAGTAAAAGCATCTGGCAGCTCTACCACTCCACCCTGTGAGAGCCCCATTATTACTACCTTTGTCCCCCCAGATTTCCTTAGGAAATAGAAAATTAGGTCGGTGGTGGCTTCCCCATTATAAGATGCCCCTCCTTTCATGCTTGGTCTCACAACCTTCCTATTACCTGCCACTCACAGCAAGCCACTCTGAACAAAGCCCACTGGGCCCTTCTATGAGCAGAGCTGCTGGGGAGTGGGGTTACATATTTCAGTACTTTTCTGTCTGTGAGACATGATTACCATTCCTTTCATCATGAAATGCTCTCCAGTCTGGTGTCTGTTGACACTGGGCCCCTTGGGTTCTCTCCTGCCTTTTCCTGGCCACTTCTCTCCACTCCCTACATTCTTTGTGAGCTCAGTTACCAGCACCTGGTACTGACCCCCAACCTCAGTTCTAGCTAGCTTCTCCTCCTACACTGCAGATGTTAGATCTGACAATCTGGCCTTTTACCTCTTTAATCTGTTGCCCTTTTTCTTAGCCTGTTCTCCTGCTTCGGTATTCTCCCAAGGTAGGTATTTATAGTTGGGAGGCTGAGGCAGGAAGAGTGAAAGTTTTAGTCTGGGCTGCAGGGTGAGTTCAAGGTCAGTTTGGACAACATATTGAGACCTCGTCTCAGAAAGTCACAGGACATCAGCAGTACAGTATTTGCCTAGCATATAAGAGGCCATGGGAACAATCCCCAGTAGGGCATCAATGCTGATAGTTGTGTAGAAAGCAGATGTTGCATCCAGACACTAGTACTAGGAACCCTACTAGAGAATTTCTTTCTCTTCACCTATAGCCATAGCCTTACTCCATGTCTCTATCATTTTTATGACTGATAGTAACAGATTAAATGGTGTCTGAGAACCACTTCTAGCTTGGGGTTTACTTTTAATTTTTACTATGTCATTATTATTTTGAGATAGGGCTAGCCTCCAACTCTGTGTAGCTAAGAATGACCTTTGACCTCTGATATTCCTACCTTCACTTCCTGAGATGTTGAGTATAGGTGTGTGCTAACATACCTGGGTTGTGCTATATGGGGAATCAAACCCAGGGCTGTTTTGTTCATGCTTGGCAAGCAATTTGCCAACTGAATTACACACCTCCAGGTGAAGTGCCTCCAAAGATGGTTTCAGAAGGTACCACTTACAAGCATGTTTCTGGTTTGAGAACAGCTCTGAAGTCCTCTTCCCTTAATAGAAGTTAGCAGCTTGGATATAAGCATTTCAGAGTTCAAGAAGATGTGACAAAAGCAGCATAGGAGGAGGTGGCTGCCACCTGTCTAGTCAAAGAAGTGAAGGAGGGGGAGGCATGGAGATAGGATGCTGTGATATGATGAGAGAGACAGAGAGAGAGAGAGAGAGAGAGAGAGAGAGAGAGAGAGAGAGAGAGAGAAGGGGGTAACAGTTGACCAGTTTTTGCTAAAACTGGCTTTGTAGTGCCTGGCTGAAGGGCCATATAGACCTCAACTAATAATTTCCATTTGTCTATTGTGACAGCACTGGTAGCCACTGGGGTACTAGATCAGACAAACATTCCTAATGCTGTGAGTCTGGCAGCTGAAGTCTAATGTTACAAAATATGGTTCAGTAAGATCAGTTGAGATTATCACAAATGACTACAGAATTTTCAAGTATGATCAAATCGTATTTTATTGATGTTCTTGGATAGTTTGACTTTCTATTTTGTGATGAGGGATGGACAAGGATAGTTCCTTGTTGTACCTGCCTGTCTCTGTCTCCTAATTCTGAAACTATATCCACATGTATCTAAAAATGAGGCAAAACATCCTAAATGGAAAAAACCCAAAGCAATTCCACTAAAATCAGCTTAGTATTTTTCTATGGGATTCTTAACTATGAGAATGAGTGGGTTTCTGACTTTGTGCCTGCTCTTGGGACTCTTTTCCTCCCATTGGACTGCTGTGTTCAACTTTGATATGATAGTTTTTGCTTCATCTTAAGATATTTATTGTGTCATGTTTGGTTGCTATCTCTTAGAAGCCTGCTCATTTCTAATGAGAGGCAGAAAGATAGTGTTTTAAGAGTGGAAAGGAGATGGGAAGGAACTGAGAGGAGAAGAAGGGGAAACTATTATCAGGATATATTATATGAGAAAAGAATCTATTTTCAATAGGAAGAAAAAAGTAAAAAAGGAGGCAAAAGATAAGAATATGCTCTAATTTATTAACATGGTTCTAAATTTCTATTTCTTTAGACCATTTATACTTAAAAGAATTCTTCAAACAAAAAGTCAGCCACTGGTAGGTTCAGTAAATGAGAGGTTACATTCTCTTGCTGCCCTAGATCCCTGAGAACCTTCCCCAAGGACAGCAGGGAACTCTCAGCAGTGAGCACAGATCACCTTAAAGATTTAAGAGAACCAAATAGTTGATTACAGTGTCTTCCTATGGCAGGAAAGAATTTCTGATCACTTACAAGCAAAGGCCAAAACAACCATCTCATCATTTTGTCAAGTCTGCAAATGTACAAAGCTATGAAGAAGAAAACAACAGTGGATTCAAATCCAGTGATAACGATGTATGGTTCAGGAGCTTGTGCAATGATAAAGAAGGTCATAGACGCCACAGTTACTACCTAGAATAAGAAAACAATGATTTAGTCACTGATCATACAAGTTTATGCTATAGAAACTATTGGTTTATTTACTGTGGAGTGTATATGTACATGTGTGGTACTGGTGATTGAATCCAGGGACTCTTATATGTGAGTACTCTACCATTGAGTTCATACATCCCTAGCCCCAAAATGATGTCTAAAAATAACTATGTAAGATTTCTGTAGGACACTGTAGACATAAGAGGTGTGACTAAACATGTGGGCATTGACTTTGGTTTGTGTTTTAGAGGAGTGGAGTGCGTACTTCCTTGGTCATTTCCCACATCTGTTCTTAGGAGCTTTCCCCTCCAAATATCTTTTCTGCCTATAAGCACACCTAAGTTGCCTTCTCTTAAGACACCCCTCCCCAACAGCCCTATCCTTCCATCTTTTCCAGAAAAAAGTCTGTTCTATCCCCCCTTCCCCTGCTTCTTGTTACTCCTCAAAAAATGTTACAACCTATCTGCTTAGAATTCATCATCATTCCTTAACTATTAGTAACTTGAAAATTACTATTAAACTGGAGTTGAATGTTGTTAAGAGGGCAAAGGTAAAAGGGAGGTGGGAGTGGAGGAGATGGGTTTAAACATACTGTCAGAGGAAAAGGGAATCTGATGTGTAAGAGTCACTACTCAACGTACATTTTTATAGAACTCCTTTTATTAATAAATACAATGCCATTAGAATTAAGGGGCAGCTAAAGACTGGAAAGAACCTAAATGATTCCAATTAGTGAATGGATAAAGAACATGTGTTCAGAGCTGGGATATAGCTCAATAAGAGGTATGAGGTCACCAACCTAGCATATGTGAAAGACTTTCTTAATTTCCAGAATCTCTCTCTCTCTCTCTCACACACACACACACACACACACACACACACACACACACACGGGGGGGGGGGGATATACAGCTCTACCTATCGACTCAATGGAGTATTAGCAGCAAAAAGGAAGTATTAATATAGATATGGTATTAACATATGAATTGGAAGAATCTCAAAATAATTATGATGAATGAAAGATGACAAAAGGAGTATATACTATATGTTATCTATAGAAAATTCTAAGATGGAAGGAGTGCACGCCTTTAACCCCAGCACTCAGGAGGCAGAAGCAGGTAGATCTCTGTGAGTTGGAGGCCAGCCTGGTCTACAGAAAGAATTCCAGGACAGTCTCCAAAGCTAAAGAGTAAAACCTGTCTCAGAAACAAACAGAAAAGAAAATTTTAGGAAATGGAAGGCTATCTGAGGTTACAGCAAAAGTTATGGTTACAGAAAGTAGAATGATGCTTTACAGAAAATATAGTCACAGAAAGCAGATTGAGTCAACCCTGGGACTAGGCAGGAAGAAAGGATTACCAGGGCATTTTAGTGGTTTTAGATGCCAATATGTGCCACTTTACAAGACACTCTGAGAAGTACCTTATTTAGTCATTTTCTTGTGCAAATTATTGTAAAAGTACAGACACTAAGATGGCTCTTATACCACCAGGTGACATAATGTCATGGGACCACTGTTGTACAAGCAATCAACCCACAGCCAAGAAGGTGTGCCATGTGTGGCTGTATTAATTATCCTGATTATGGTGATGATTTCACAGGTCCATGTCAAAATAGATCCAATGACATGTCCAATGTAAATGCATGAGTCTTTTCCATGAACTATCATAATAGAAACATCTAAAATGTACTTCTGTTTATGTACCTCCTAATCTATTTACAAATCCTTCAAATATGCATTCTTTATAGTCCCCCTTTCACCAGGTATCCAAGTTCTAGGAGTCAGCTACATTCTTCTTCTTTAGCAAAAACACTCTTCTCAGTTTATACATGAAAACCCCAGGGGTCACTTGCCAAGCCTCATTTACTTCGGTTGTCCCTGGTATTTGATGCAGCTGATCAGTTAGCTTCCAGGACACTGGACACTTGACTTGTCCTACAGCCCACAACTCCTTCCTACTCTCTGCTCTGTCCCTCCCTTTAATGACCACAGACTCCCAGATTCATTCATCCTCCTATCTGTTTCATCTACATTTCTTTCTTGATGACCTCATTTACCACTTAACTTTAAATACTTCTACCTCTCCACCAAAATCCAGTTCTATCTAGTTTGGACTCCCTATTCAATTTTGCTCTCCCAGTCTCATAGGTATCTCTCTTTTTGGACAATTAGCAAATCTCCAGTACCTCTAACCCAAAAGTCCAAAATGCCCCCAAATCTAACTTTGGGGGCATTGGATAGGTGGTGACAACAGGGTCTGACTCACCTAGAACTCACTATGTAGTCCAGACTGGCCTCAAACTCACAAAGATCTGCCCGTGTCTGCCTCCAAAATACTAAGATTAAAGGTGTGCGCCCCCACAGCTGGTCAAAATCCTAAAAGCTTGAATGCTGTACATGACACCTGACCTCAGGTGGTTCATTGTGCACAAACTTTTGTTTCATGTATGACATCATTAAAAAATTGTCCTACCCCACTCATGAGGTGCACATAGATGCATGCAGAAAAAACTCTCACATAAAATAAATAAAACTGAAAAAAAGAACAAAAGGAAGAGGAGGGGGAGAGGAAGAGGAGGGGATAACAGCTTCAGCCCCAGCATCTGGGTGCCAGAGACAGATGGAACTCTGTGATTTCAAAGCCACCCAGATCCTATCAAAAACAACACAGAACAACACAAAATTAGGTAATATCAACCTTAACCCTGTCCCAAAATGTTCTAGAACTTTTGGAACCTAATGTAAAACTCCAGATCATCAGTCACTTTCTTGATTAAATAAACCTAATGTAATCTCTCCCTCTCTTGGTTCCCGAGTACTTTTCTAAATGTCTCTAGTGAATCATAACTTGTAGCTATTTCTCAGAGCCACAGATTTCTGGTGGGGTGAAGATTTCATATACAATCTACTTTACTCATTCACCTGAAGTTTGACTCTCCTTTACAAATTCCTTACCAGGCCCATCTGTGCTTTCTGTTGCCTGGGAAATAATACTGCCTTCTCTGGTGGCCATTTAGCTCTGGCAACCTTTTACTATAAAACTCCTTTATGTGATGTGGGCATATTTCCCTTGTAATTGTTAACTATCTCATGTTAACTCTTCAAATTTTTAAACGATTTATTTTCATTCCTTCAACTATGGTAATTTGTGGATGAAAATGAAGACATGACTCATGCTAAGTGTGGTTGAGAAGAAGGATTTCCTGGTAGATATGAGCCAAAGTACAGCCAGAGGCATCCAGAAGAGTCTAGAATGAACTGACCATGAGAGGACGGGGTGGGGAGCGAGAGAGGAAGTGAAGAGAGAGGAGAGAGGGGGCAAGCGGTCCAAGAGAGGAGCTGAGGACCAAGAAAGCAGGCTAAAATGGCCCATTTAGATAGAACAGAGAAGCCGGGGAAAGGGGAAGTGAAGCCCAGCTGGAGAGGTTTGGGTTAGGGGCCCAGTGAGAAGTGCTGGGAGGAGCCACCAGCAGGGAGTGAACCCTGTCCTGGGCTTGGGCCTGGACAATACCCCTTCTCTAATCTCCTTTGTCCAAAGCTCTGTCCAGAACTGACTGCAAGGCCCTTGCTATGTCTGAAGCTCTAAAAAGGCAGTTTCCTTTTTGCTCTTGCTCTAGGTTGAATCAGTTGAGGAACACCAAAAGTCCGACTTACAGTAAAAGACCATCAACTTTTTTTTTTTTTCTTGTTGGGTTCGGAATGGTGACACTGCAGCTGCTTTTTCTGGTAAGTACCATGTACTATCAAGTTTGTGAGTCCAAATGCGTGGCATTCGGGTAGATCCATGGGTGTTTCCCTACACCATCTGAAGAGGAAGCCACTCTGCCCTATGGTTCAACCTCCCCTCTATGATTCAACCTCCCCTCCCCCCATCAGAGCAACAGCGCTAATGCTTTGCATCCGGAAAGTCGTGGCTGGAAACCAGGTGACAGCGCAAATGCTGCCCCAAGCTTCCTAACCCAATCTTGACCATCCTGGAGTCACCTGACCACCGCCCTGCCTTCCTGCCCTGTTCATTACCATTCGCAGTATCTTCACAAGGCCTTTCACGCTCCAGCAGAAGGGCCGTTCTACGACCTGCGGTTTAGACTCCATCTCTCCCACAGACCCAACAGTCACCTTCTCTTTCAAGCCTTCTCAGTTAATTGTTCTCTCTAGGACTCGCGCCACATCCTTAACTGTCACGGCTGGGCCAGCTGTACCTCTCTGTCGCAAGTCCCTGCGCGCATGCGCACTACTGCAATTAACCCATTCTAGCTCCGCCCACTTGTTTTAAGCTACCGATTCCAAGCTCAGACCAGGAGCTACATAGGTGTCCCCTCCTCACCAGGGCAAGCTTCACCACTGCTCTGCCCAGGAGCTTTCCTGTGGAGAAGCGCTGTTGGAGTAAGGGGAAGAAGACCCAAGAATGGTAGTCCTGCCTCCTTGCCCCTTTGAGCATTTCAGATGCCACCCCCTCAGGATTTCCCTTGGCTACCTGTCTAGAGATGCCAATCATTCTTCTGCACTTTTATGGTAGCTCGTCTAGATTATAAGCATATACCGTGGCAAAACATTGATTCACTGGTAATAAGTTAGACTTATTAGAGAAAAAAAGTTCCTGTGTTCTGTTAGTCTGATTGACCATGGGTAGTGAGAAAATTAAAAACTACAAGAAATGAATTTGAATTTTTTTTTCAGCACAGAAATCGTTCAGCAGAGACAGATTTACCCTGACATGAATATTACACAATGCGCATATGTTGTTGTTCTTTTGTTACAGTTATAATAAAGCTGGAGAGAGGACCTCTGCTAAAGAAAGAGGCCTCAGCTGGAGAGTCCGAGTTTCCAGTGAGATCTGACTATCCTGCAAAAACTTCCCAAGTTTCAGCTCAGCCTTTGTCCTCTTCCGCCAGCCATTGGCTAGAGCCCTGACCCTATCCCTGGGTCCCTGTCTGCGGAGAGACCTCCTATAGAGCTTGGACCACCCAGAGCTACAGATATTGAATCTCTGACCCACATAAGCCCACGGAGGAAGTAACATAAAGAGAGGGAGAGACCCCACCAACACTTACTGGAAGAAGCTATGGGAAGACAGCAATACAAGAAAACACCTAACAATAGAAAGACAAGCATGACACCAACAGAATCTAGGGAATCTACACTAACTAGAATGGAACACAACAAAGCAGAAGAAGCAGAAGGGAACAACTTACAAATTACCATCATAAAAATGATAGAGGCCCTCAAAGAAGATGTGAGAAAATCCCTTAAAGAAATGGAGGAAAAAACAAACATAAAAGTGGAAGAAATGAACAAATTCCTTAAGGAAAGTACAGAAAGCCAAGAAAAAACAATTAACCAGGTGAAGGAAACGGTTCAAGATTTGAAAACCGAAATTGAGAAAATAAAGGCAACACAAATGGAAGGAAAGCTGGAAATTGAAAAGCTGGGCAAAAAATCGGAAACCACGGACACAAGCATAACCAATAGAATTCAAGAGATGGAAGAGAGAATCTCAGGCGCAGAAGATAAACTAGAAGAAATAGATTCATCGACCAAAGAAAACCATAAATCCAACAAATCCTTAACACACAATATCCAGGAAATGTGGGACACCATGAAAAGGCCAAACCTAAGAATAATAGGCATAGAGGAAGGTGAGGAAGCCCAGCTCAAAGGTGCTGAAAACATATTCAACAAAATCATCGAGGAAAACGTTCCAAATCTGAAGAAGGACATGCCCATGAAAGTACAAGAAGCATACCGAACCCCAAATAGGCTGGACCAAAGAAAAAAGACCCCTCGACATATAATAATCAAAACACCTAGCATACAGAATAAAGAAAGAATATTAAGAGCAGCGAAGGAAAAAGGACAGGTAACATATAAAGGCAGACCTATCAAAATTACACCTGACTTCTCCATGGAAACCCTCAAGGCCAGATGGTCCTGGATAGATGTTCTACAAGTATTAAAAGAACACGGATGCCAGTCTAGGCTACTATATCCAGCAAAACTCTCAATCACTATAGATGGAGAAAACAAGATATTTAAAGACAAAACCAGATTTTCCCAATACAAATCTACAAATCCAGCCCCAGAGAAAGTATTGGAAGGAAAACTCCAACTCAAGGAAGGTAACTATGCCCACAAAAATGTAGGCAACAGAAATCCAACTACACCAGAAACCTAGGGTGAAGCAGAACAAATATATTCACAATACCACTGCCAACAACAAACCTAAATCAAACAAGCATCAACAATCAGTGGTCCTTACTCACCCTCAACATTAATGGTCTCAACTCACCTATAAAAAGACACAGGCTAACAGAATGGATACAAAGACAGAATCCATCCTTCTGCTGCATACAAGAAACACATCTAAGCTTCAAAGACAGACATTACCTCAGGGTAAAGGATTGGGAAAAGATCTTCCAATCAAATGGAAATAAGAAGCAAGCAGGGGTGGCTATCCTAATATCTAACAAGTTAGACTTCAAACCAAAATTAATCAAAAGAGATGAAGACGGTCATTTCATATTCATCCCTGGAGAAATCTATGACCATAAAGTCTCCGTTCTGAACATCTATGCCCCTAATACAAAGGCACCCACATTTGTAAAAGAAATACTACTAAAACTCAAAGCCCACATAAAACCTCACACACTTATAGTGAGAGACTTCAATACACCACTCTCAACACTAGACAGGACCACCAATCAGAAACTCAACAAAGAAATGAAAGAACTAACAGAAGTTATGTCTCAACTGGGGTTAACAGACATCTATAGAACATTCCATCCAAAGACAAAAGAATATACCTTCTTCTCTGCTCCACATGGAACCTTCTCTAAAATCGATCACATACTAGGTGGCATAACAAGCCTCAACAGATACAAGAGAATAGGAATAGTCCCCTGTACCTTATCAGACCACCATGCTTTAAAATTGGAATTCAACAACAACACAAATAGCACAAAACCTGCAAACTCATGGAAACTGAACAATGTGCAATTGCACCACACCTGGGTCAAGGAAAAAATAAAGAAAGAAATCAAGGACTTTCTAATATTCAACGAGAATGAGGACACAACATACCCAAACTTATGGGACACCTTGAAAGCAGTGTTATGAGGGAAGTTCATTGCACTAAGTGCCCATATGAAGAAAACAGAGGATAGTCACATAAAGAGAATTAACAGCACAACTGAAAGCCTGAAAAAAGAGAGAAGCAAGCTCACCGCGTAGGAGTAGATACCAGGAAATAATCAACTTGAGGGCTGAAATCAACAAAATAGAATTCAGGAAAACAATACCAAAAAAAAAAAAAAAAAATCAATGCAACGAAGAGTAGGGTTTTTGAGAAAATCAACAAGATAGACAAACCTTTATCCAAATTAATGAAAAAGCAGAAAGAGAACATGCAAATTACCAAAACCAGAAATGGAAAGGGGAACATAACAACAGACGCAGAGGAAATCCAGACAATATTCAGGTCATACTTTGAAAACCTGTATTCCACAAAAATTGAAAATTCAAAGGAAATAGACAAACCAAAAAAAGTCCAGGGCCAGATGGATGCAGTGCAGAATTCTACAAGACATTCAAGGAAGAACTAATACCAATACTCCTCAAGCTGTTCCACAAAATAGAAACAGAAGGTTCATTGCCAAACTCTTTTTATGAGGCCACAATAACCTTGGTACCCAAGCCTCACAAAGACACAACTAAGAAAACTACAGACCAATATCCCTGATGAGCATCGATGCAAAATACTCAATAAAATACTGGCAAACCGAATTCAATAACACATCAGAGAAATCATCCACCATGACCAAGTAGGCTTCATCTTTGGAATGCCGGGATGTTTTAACATACGAAAATCTATCAACGTGATCCACCATATAAACAAAGTGAAAAAGAAAAACCATATGATCATCTCCCTAGATGCTGAAAAATCCTTCGACAAAATTCAACACCCTTTCATGATAAAGGTCTTGAAGAGATCAGGGATAACAGGAACATACCTAAACATAATAAGCGCAATATACAGCAAACCAACTGCCAACATCAAACTAATGGAAAGAAACTTAAGCTAATTCCTCTAATATTAGGAACAAGAGAAAGCTGCCCTCTCTCTCCATATCTCTTCAATATCTTACTTATAATGCTATAAACAACAAAAGGAGATCAAGGGGATCCAAATTGGAAAGGAAGAAGTCAAACTGTCTCTATTTGCAGATTATATGATAGTTTACATAAGCGACCCAATAAACTCTACCAGGGAAATCCTACAGCTGATAAACACCTTCAGCAAACTAGCAGGATACAAAATAAACTCAAAAAAAAAAATCAGTAGCCCTACTTTTTTCAGACTACAAAGAGACAGAGAAAGAAATCAGAGAAACATCACCCTTTACAATAGCCACAAGCAACATAAATGATCTTGGTGTAATGCTTACCAAACAAGTAAAAGACCTATATAATAAGAACTTTGTGGCTCTAAAGAAAGAAATTAAAGAAGATACAAGAAAATGGAAAGAGCTCCCATGCTCTTGGGATAAACATAGTAAAAATGGCAATCTTGCCAAAAGCAATCTACAGGTTGAATGCAATCCCCATTAAAATCCCACCACAATTCTTCACTGACCTTGAAAGGATAATAATCAACTTTATATGGAAAAACAAAAGACCCAGGATAGCCAAAACAACCCTATACAATAAAAGAACTTCAGGAGGCATCACCATTCCTGACTTTAAGCTCTACTACAGAGCTATAGTTCTGAAAACAGCCTGGTATTGGCATAAAAATAGACAGGTAGACCAATGGAATCGAATTGAAAATCCTGATATTAATCCACGCACCTATGAACACCTGATTTTCAACAAAACAGCTAAAATTATACAATGGGTTGAGGACAGCATCTTCAACAAATGGTGCTGGCACAATTGGATGAGGGTGTGTAGAAGACTGCAGATAGACCCATGTCTATCGCCATGCACAAAACTCAAGTCCAAATGGATCAAAGACCTCAACATCAATCCAGCCACATTGAACCTCTTAGAAGAGAAAGTAGAAGGTACCCTTGAACAAATTGGTATAGGAGACTGCTTCCTGAACATAACTCCAGGGGCACAGACACTGAGAGAAACAATTAATAAATGGGACCTCTTCAAACTTAGAAGCTTCTGTAAGGTAAAGGACACAGTTGACAAGACCAAATGGCAGCCTACAGATTGGAAAAAGATTTTCACCAATCCTATATCCGACAAAGGGCTGATCTCCAAAATATACAAAGAACTCAAGAAACTAGTCAACAAAACACCAAATAACCCTATTAAAAAATGGGGTACAGAGCTGAAGAAAGAATTCTACAGGAAATCATAAAGGCTGAAAGACACTTAAGAAAGTGCTCAAAATCCTTAGCTATCAGGGAAATGCAAATGAAAACAACTTTGAGATACCATCTTACTCCTGCCAGAATGGCTAAAATTAGAAACACCAATGCTGACTCATGTTGGAGAGGATGTGGAGAAATAGGAACACTCCTCCACTGCTGGTTGGAGTGCAAACTCATGCAGCCATTTTGGAGATCAGTATGGTGGTTCCTCAGGAAAATGGGAATTAGTTTACCTCAGGACCCACCAATCACCCTCTTAGGCATATACCCAAATCATCCACATCCATGCAACAAAGACAGCTGTTCAACTATGTTCATAGCAGCACTGTTTGTAATAGCAAGAACCTGGAAGCAACCTAGATGCCCCTCAATTGAAGAATGGATAATGAAGATGTGGTACATCTACACAATGGAATACTATTCTGCAGAAAAAAATGATAGCTTGAAATTCGCAGGCAAGTGGATGGCACTTGAAGAAACCATCCTGAATGAGGTAACCCAGTCACAAAAAGAGGAACATAGTATGTCCTCACTCACATATGGATTTTAGACCTAGATCAAAGGATCACCAGCCTATAATTCACACCCCAGAGGAACTAGGATACAAGGTATATTCGAAGAGATTCATATAAAGTTCCTCACAGAACCAGGAAGGGACCAGTCCCCCAGAGCTCAGGGGAAGTGGGGGGGCAGCGAATGGAGAGAGAAGTAGTAGAAAATGAGAGGGAGGAAAGGAAAACAGGTGTGATCAGGAAGATTGAGCCTGGTCTGCAACAGAAGACAGGAGAGAGAGAGAGAGAGAGAGAGAGAGAGAGAGAGAGAGAGAGAGAGAGAGAGAGAGAGAACATAAAAGAGGGAGCCAATATTGGTTTGAAGATAAAATTGAACACAAAGAAAGGTCTAGTGAACTACAAAACTGCTGCCAATTAACAATTTGAGCTTCTGTGGAAAGGCTACCACAAATGCCCTTCCTGGAGAGTGAGATCAACAACTAACTTATCCATGGAGCTCTCATCTAATGCCTGTTGGAAACAGGAGCAAACACCCATACATAAACACTGCTGCAAACTAGAACCCAGATTCAGATCGAGAGGACAAGACTAGGTGACAGAAACACATAGAGACATCTTACCTGAACAAGGAACAGCTAATGGCCCCAAGACTGATAGCTAGGAAGCCAGCATGGGACTGACTCAGGCCTCCCTGAATATGGGTCTCATCCAGAAGGACTGAGCAGTCTAAGGGACCTCAGACAGTGGAGCCAGGATGTATCCCTGGTGCACAAAAGGACCTTGAGAACACATCCCCCACGGAGGGATAACTGCCTTAACCTAGAGACAGGAGAGAAGCCCTAGTCCCTACTTCACATGACCTGTCAGATCTACATGACCCCTACTGGATGGCATTCCCCTACATATGGAATTGTGGTGGTGGGATGGGAGGGGGGAGGGTGGTTAGGGAGGGATGGAGGAAGGAGAGCGAACTGGGATCGACATGTAAAGTAATAAATTAAATTAAAAAAATGCTTTTACTCCAAAATTTAAGTTCAAGGACAAGTTACTGGGGAAAAGGATTTCTATTTTTGTTCCCACAGAAAATGAAAAGCTGTGGATTCCTTCTAGACTAATGTGGTTTGATCAAGGCAGACTGCCTGAAACAGAGTACCATGTGATCCTACATTCAAAACAGCTGGACAAAGCAGCCTTGCAGACTACAGCCAGGATTTCTGCATCTTCTTCGAATCCCCCATGACAGTGTCCCTTACCAGCAGGAAGTAGTTTGGAAAGAACGATGCCCAAATTCCCAAATATTGTCTATAAATGTTTGTTTTCATTTAAATGGACTTGGTCATATAAAATAAATATATAAAAAAGAAATACAAAAATTAAAAAAAAAAAAGCTGGAGAATGGGGGGTGGTGTCCGGTGTGGGGGTGGCAAGGAAAGGACCATGTGTGAGAGCATAGTAGTTTCCATAGCAGGTGAGGGTGACCGAGGCAGAGGGAATAACATGCTAGGCAGACAGAGCTTAAGTGAGAAGTTATTTAGAAAGGGGAGTGAGGGGGAAGGGAAGAGACATAGAGGCACCAGGAACAGAATAGAGGACAGAGAGAGGAGGTGAGAGGAGAGGGGAAGTGGGAGGGAGGAGGGAGAGGGGGGGAGAGAAGGGGGGGCTGGAAAGCAAGAGATCTAAGTGTTAAGTGGGCAGAGGTCTGACTTTTAAAGGGCCCTTTACACCTATCTGAAAAGTCTAGTAGTCTTGGAACCCTGGGCTGACCAGAGTATTGCCTGAGTGCATTCTGTCAGGTGACAGTGGCAGGCCAGTGTAATGCCTGAATGCATCCTTACACATGGTAGGAAACATTAGATGGTATCTTATAAATATGTCAATTAAAAATTAAAATATTAATTTTGGTCTGGTCTGCGTCTCTCCTTGAAGGTCCCTGGGGGCTGGGGCACTCATCAATAGCTGGAGACTATGTAGCCTGAGCTTATAGCCTGGTCCTCCTAGTCTGGCCTTGCTCTCAGAGTATACAAGTCTGTCTCTAGAATACTTTTGCCTCCCAGTACTTCAGCTTATCAAGTGAGTGCCCCGATGTACCCTAAACTACACCATGTTGGATCATGCTTTAGATACAGGAAGTATGTGTCACTTCTCTTATGTGATTTGTCTTGTATCATCACCTGTCTTAGTTTGCCTGTTTGTTGCTGTGAGAAGTCAACCACTGACCAAAAGCAACTTGGGGAAAAAGGGTTATTTGGCTTATAGGCTACAGCCTACCACCAAGGAAAGGCAAAGCATGAATTCAAGGCTGGAACCTGGAGGCAGAAACTGAAGCAGAGACCAAAGAGGAACTAAAATGTTTTCTGGCTTCCTGTCTCTGGGTTGCTCTTGCATAGACATCTCAGGGCCACCAGCCCAGGGATAGCATTGCCTGCAGTGGGTAGTCCCTCCTTTATCAATTAGCAGCAAGAAGGTACCCCACAGACAGGCCCATAGGCCAATCTGATGCAGCTGGTTTCCCAATTAAGGCTCCCTCTTCCCAGGAGTTTCTAGTTTGTGTGGGTTGAAAAGAATGAGCCAGCACACCACCCCAGTTCATTTAGACCTCATTGGACCCTGCCCTGCTAAGACCTGTTCATTCAGCTGAATCTGATCAACAGTTACCAGCAACCTCACCCCAACATGCTCTTGAAAATGTTGACCTTGATTTTCACAACCATAATTGCCTTTGCTAGCTGCCTAGCAAGTAAACAGGAAACTCAGGCATGGTGATAATTTCTGGTGACAGATCTTAAGAGTAAGGCAAAAACTGAAGATGTCTTCCTTCTCTCTGCCTGGAAGACTGCCAACATCTTGCAACCTGGAAGAAGTGGAAAACTACTCTACCCACATTTGTAACTGTCACATACAGTCAAGGTGGCAACAGCTGGGTTTATTGGTCTGGGACAGATGCAAGCTGCACCTAATCTGAGTTTATTTATTTATTTTTTTACTTGCTTACAAGTGGGGGTTATTATATGCTTTCTTCTCATCCCTTTTTGTTCATTCAGTGAAGATATTGGTTGTGCCTTCCTGAGGGGTCAACGTTATAGTTCAAATGTTGGTAAGATCAAAGACTGTGGACTTGGGAAACAATGGCTTGAAAGCCAGCTTCCCTCCTTAGTCCCTCACTCTGCTTTTTGTGATGAAGGGGATTAAACCTTGGGCTCTTTTAAGCAGTCCCAATTCTTCATTCTTCGAGGATGAGCTTGGAAACTGGGAATGACAATACCTGCAGAAATGTTAGAAGGAAAATACAGGACATCATGTAGGCATGTGCCAGGTGTGGATGGAACAGGCAATCAATGAAATAATCTTACATTCTAATGAACCAATCCGCTTCCAGTATTATTATCCACCCATTCTCTAAGTTTAGTTAGGTAAAGGGTGCATTCTATGGTCTGCAAACTTTTCCATCTAGCCTAGAGTCAGAAAAACGCCAGGATCCTTTAAGGGGAGGGACCAAGAGGGGGCGGGGCTCCAATGCGCGCAGGAAGGAAGTCGGGCTAGCACTTCTACCAGGGGCTATGCTGCTGCGGCCGCTTCGAGGCTGGGCAGCCCGGTTGCTGCGTAGTGCAAGCCCCGGTAGCTCCGGAAGCCTCATTTCGGGCACCGGCAAGCTGTGGGCACCTCACCGCGCCTGGCCTCCGGGTAACTAGTGCTTTTGTACCACCTCGTAGAGGCCGCTCTGGTCCCGCTCCCCCCCTTCCCCGCAAGTCACTGGACTTCCCCAGGGCCCTAGGGTGAAGACCCGCTCTAGGGGCCCAAGTAAGGCTTCTAGTCCGGTTTCCTGGTCAGATTCTTTAGGTTCTGGGGGGTGGGGTGGGGGGAAAACGGGGAGATGGGCGGATGCTGCTTTAAACCAGCTTGCAGTGGATGCAGATGCCTGCGCACTCAGAAGGCGGGTTCAGGCTTCTGGCTTTTTCCTACTTTTGCTGCCAGTGGGGATCCTCCTTTTCCCTTGGCTTTGGGCTGCTGACGGTGGTTCGCAGCATTGCCAGCCTTGGCTTAGAGAACGGACAACCTGGGTCCCAGCCCTAAGCCTAAGCCCACCGGCTGTCCTTCAGAAACTCTTGGCCATTCCTTGTGTCCACTGTGAAGATCTAAGCACACAATACAGGTGAAAACGCAAAGTAGAGATGGTGTACAGTGTACATGCAAGACCCAGCCACTGAGAGTCCTGAGAATGGCAAACACTTTTTAAGTCAAGAAGCAAGCATAAACATTATTGTTTGTTTGGTTATCAGATTAGCACAGAGAAGAGTGGACAATTGAAACATTAATTTCCTTTTTTTTTTTTTTTTTTTTTTTTTAGATAAAGATAGAGAAAATGATAAAGAGAAAAAAGCTGTGGTAAGTTCCTCTTTGCATGAATTCTCCCGTGTAGAGTAATACCTTTATTTTTTGAGCCGGAGAGTGAAGCAATATGTGTACACAGTGAAAAAAAAAAAAAAAAAACAAGTGCGAGATGATTATCCACCTCTAACCAACTCAAAAGTGAAAGAAAACGAGAGTAGGAGTAACTTTCAGTTAGTAGTGTGTGTTCAGCAAGCATAATGTAAGTTCCATTCTCAGCACCAGAGAAATATGTGGGGTACATTCTCATCGGTGTCAGTTATAATGGCTGGGGATTGGACTCGGCCTCTGGAGGACAGTGGAGTGAGTTGTGGCACAGGCTAAACTGCTTGTGCACTTTGACAGCATGCCCTCCTGTTTCTGTAATCCCATCACTTTCTTTCCTACTCTCACATTTCCTTTCTTTTTTTTTTTTCCTCTCTCTCCCTTCCTTCCTTTCTTGTGAGCACTGTGGAGGTTGAGACTAAGTTTTGCATATGAAGTGCTAGACACATAGTAAGTCTTCATCAAGCAAGTGGGGAGACAGAGGCAGGTGGATCTCTGTCTATAGAAAAGTTCTGGAACAGCCAGGGCCACACAAAAAACTGTCTGGGGGATGGGGGTCTCAGAGGGAAAAGTGCTTGTTCCATAAGCATGGGAACCTGAGTTTGGATCCCCAGCCCTTGAATAAAAAGCACAGCAGGTGCCTGTCATCCCAGTGGCCAGCAAATGTGGCTATTATGTATGGTCCAGTTTCAGAGAGATCCTGACTCAAAATAAGGTGGAGAATGATGGAGGAGGATACCGAGAGGAGTCTGGTTTTTACGTGCACGTGTGTTAGTGCATAAATCTGCCCACACATGTGTACACTCAAAAGAAGACTCTGGGCTAGGTGTGGTGGTGTATGCCTGTAATCTTACTCAGAAGGATGATGTACAAGGATTACAAGTTCTATGCTAGTCTCCACAGAGTGAACTCTGTGTGTGTGTGTGTGTGTGTGTGTGTGTGTGTGTGTGTGTGTGTGTGAGATCTTTTTACCTTTGTGTTCCTGTTTACATGTTGCTTGCTCTACTATGAGGGGGTTTCAGAAGGGGGTGGAGTGCTGGCTGAGCACACTTGAGGTCTATATTTACCATCTCTTCAGGATTTTCTGGTGGGAATAGGGGCAGGTGATTTTGAATGGTCTCTGAATAGCACTGAAGTCCTTGTAGTGAACAGGAATGAAATATCAGATGTAGAATAATGTCCAGATTGAGTTCCTTTTGGGTGTTCAGGGGAAAACAGCAACAAAAGGCCCAGGAGTGTTCTGTGGGGTTTCTTTTTGCCTTTCACTTACTCCCTTGGGTTCATTTTGTGTTTACTCTGGGTCCTAAAGGCATGAACTGGCAGAGGCCTGGGATTAGAGGGTGGCCTGGCATCTGTGGGAAGTGCCATTGTCCATTTCTAGGTACTCATTAGGTTCAAGATTGGAGACCTTTGCTGCCAGTCAACAGTGCTAGGGAGTTTTATATTGGGTGTGGTGACCAGTTGTGATAGGTGTTATATGTAGAATGTGACAGGTTCCACCTAAGGAAGGTCATGAGAAGGGGTCTGTTGGGCCAGGGTATAAATTCCACCCACCCTGCCTGGATTACTGCCTTGCCAAGTCACCAAATATCTGTGGGTACTTCCAACCTGGGTGTGAAGCAACACTTCTTCGTGTGACCCAGAGGATGTGTGAGAATGTTCTTAAGGACCAGTTTGTCTTACAATGAACTATGTACCCTTTGTGATTTGCTGGAACCAAAACCACTTGGTCTGTATCACCAGGAGTGCCAGGTTGAGCCTTAGAATTGTTGGGCATGCCTCCCCAGGTGGCAGCCATCATGCCTAGGATGTGGGTTCAGTCTGGTTTACCTTATTGGGCCCCTTCTGCTTTTTCTGTTACTGCAAAGTGGGACCTTGGGGGATGCCTGAGGTAGGGTTTGACTTGCCACTCAAATTCTTAGACTGAACCAAGTGGGCTGATTACCCTAACCTAGTTGTTCCCTCATGTTCCTCTGCATGCTTGATTTCTAACCCTAATATACATCTGTCTTCTGCCAGGTTTGTGTTGAGGGCAATATTGCAAGTGGAAAGACGACATGCCTGGAGTTCTTCTCCAATACAACAGATGTTGAGGTATGTTCCTCACACACTGGGTTTGAAGGAACCGAAATGTCTCAGTGGAATGAGTTATGCAGAGCACAGATAGCCTTGTCCAACAGAAGGGTGATGCCAGCCGCAAGTGCAGTCCATACTTGTGACCTAGTGAGGTTTTGTTTTTGTTTTTGTTTGTTTTGCTTTTTGTTTGTTTGTTTGTTTTTTGGTTTTTCAAGACAAGGTTTCTCTGTGTAGCTTTGGAGCCGGTCCTGGAACTAGCTCTTGTAGACCAGGCTGGTCTCAAACTCACAGAGATCCACCTGCCTCTGCCTCCCCAGTGCTGGGATTAAAGGTGTGCACCACCACTGCCCAGCTTGTTCAATGCATTTTCAACTTGGTGTATTTTTCTAGTGGGGACATGGCCCCTTTGTAAGTAGAGGAACATCTGTGGTCGAACTTCAGGGTCATATGGTTACATGTGTCTTGTGACTCCTGTGTTGGGCAGCGCATGTACAGATCTCCCCATAGTCTGGTTAGGAAGAATGTATGTATGGTAGAGAAGGCAGGCTGCTGAGCCTAGCTCTTAGGGAATCTGTGTTTAAGTAGGTGAGTAGCACCATGTGCATCTGGTTATATATTTCTAGTTAATTTAAAATTCAGCCACTAAGAATAATGTCAAAGATGTTTAAGAGTTAATAGTAACCTCTCTCCACGGTGTGACTCTCGTTCTCTCTTCTAGGTTTTGGTGTATTGTATCCCTGTGGTTACAGATCTCTTGCCTAAAATGTTTGGGATCTGAAGTGTTTCAGACTTTGGAATAGTTAATATAATACATAATGATCTTAGAGTGAGACCCAAGTCTAAAGAGGACATTCACTTGTGTACTTTATACACATAACCTGAAGGTCATTTTAGTAGCCTGGATTATTATTTTGTCTTTGATCTGTCATGTGAGGTCTATGTATGGACTTTTCCATCTGTGGTATAATGTCTGCTGGGAATTTGAAGCATTTGAATTTCAGATTTGGGATGGGGAAGCTGTATTGCAGATCCTACAATTTTCCAACTTGCTGTTTCCTTCTTTCCCTCTCTCTATTAAAGATATGTGTGGTTTGATAAGATAGTAACTATTTCCCAGCCCTGGTTTGATTTGTGTTCATGTGCCGCTGTACAGAAAAGCAGTATCGATGTAGTCGCTGGACAGCTGCTTAGGTCTAGGGAGGGTTCCCACCATTCCTGCCTGAGGAAAGAGCTTTCTGTGCCTGGATGCACACAGTGTGGATTATCCTGAACAACTGCTTGTGGGGAACCTGGGGTTTTGGTACATTCCAGGCAGTGATAGCCTGTGCACCTGTGATGTCCCTGATCTAGGTCAGCTTCCCTGGTGGACAGCATTTTGCATGTTCTGTTACAACTTGTTGCTGGGAAAATTAAGTGGTGTGTTGTGTGACTCCAATGAGCAAGGATACTTGGGAGGTTTGCTTGTTTCCCTTCAGGTACATCTCCTCTGCAGATCTGGTGCTGTGTCCTCGTATGGCAGTTGATATTAGCTGTCAGTGTTGGATGTTGTGTCTCATCAATCATGGGACCAGAAAAAGTGTCTTAGGGTCACAACACTTGTCTTGAGTAGTGAACCTCTCAATAGAACTTGAAAAGTGCTTATGTTTTCACGATAGACCTTGGAGCCAATTAACAACAATAGCAGCAGCAATAGCTGATACCCATCCAGTGCACCATGTTAAGTTTTTATGGGATTATCTAATTAGTTCCATGCCTACATGCATAACCTCTCTGAGGTAAGTCCTATTACCTCTTTGGAGAAGAGGAAATCAAAGACTAATTGCCTTATAAAATTTATATTTAATTATATTTATATTTAATTCACCTTGACTGAATTAAAGACTATAGCAGCCTCCCAAACTCAGATGTGGTTTCATTTTCTGTGGTTTCAGTTACTTGAGGTCAACCAGAATCTAAAAATATTAAGTAGGACATTCTAGATTTAAACAGTTCATAAAATTTAAATTATGCATTATAGTATGGTGTATCCAATAAAGCCTCATGCCATCTCAGTCTGTCCCATGTGAATCATCCCTCTGTCTAGCATAGGGAAAAAACAAAAAACAAAAAACAAAAAAACATGGCATGTACCAGACTTGTATCTGAAGCTTCAAAGGCGTACACTGGGATCTTACAACACACCCCCAAGAACAAGGATGCAGGCACTGTGCCTGGACAACACTGAAGTATTATTTCTGCATATGTTTAGAGGGTGTTTTCCAGGGGAGACTGACATGTAAATTGGTGGACTTACTAAATAGGAAATATGAATGGGGATTCATAATTGACTACAGGCCTGGATAGAACAAAAAAGGAAAGAAAAGGATTTCCTTCCTCTTTTTCCTGCTGTGGGACTTAGCCAGAGGTTTTCCAGCCTTGGGACTTGGGACTTAGCCAGAGGCCCTAGGTTCCAGGATCTTGGCATCATACTTAATATTAAATCAGTGATTTCCCTGCTCTTTGGACCTATACCTGTGCTACTTGTATCCCTGAGATCCCAGCTTTAGACAACCTGTCATAGGATAGAGTTCTTAGCTTCCTTAATTTCATGAGCAAGTTTTGCTAATGAATTTCTTCTTGTATGTCAGTTTCTATGCATACATAATTGTATCTGCTCCTGTAGAGAGAGAGCCCTGACACATATAATAGTGTGCATTGGGGCCAGGTCCCAGCTCAGGCTTTGAAACTGAAGGGATGCCACCCTTGTTTGTCTCCACACTATGAAGAACTTGGTTGACCTTGGTGAGCCTACTCCCCTTTAGACTGAGCTGGTTTTCAGTTATTTACAGGTCACATCTGGAAGTCACAGGAAAACCCCACCTAGAAGCTGTGGCCTTTCAGGCGCCTAGCTTGTTTGGCTCACCCTTGGCACCCAACAGTAGTGCCTACCTGCCTGCCTGCCTGCCTGCCTTCCTGCCTTCTAAACTTGTCACACTGTTTCAGCATGTTGTCTTTCCTTGCAGGTGTTAATGGAGCCTGTGCTTAAGTGGAGAAATGTCCGAGGCCACAATCCTCTGGTGAGTGCTTTGCTTTTTGCCCAGCTTCCCTGTGAGTACCTAGGAATGGTGGTGCTGACACCTGAGCCCAGGCACACCTACTCTTTGTCCCCACTGTTAGCTGAGTCAGAAGAAAGGAGGATGGCAACCCAGGGTTTCTGAGGCCTGGGTGGGTATGCACAGCCAATTCTAGCTCATCGGGTTTCTGGATGACCCTTTTGGGCTTATATTGTCTAGTAATGGATCCCTTATTTACCCTGAAGCCACCTATCTTCCTTCCCACAGAGGGTCTGGACAGCAGGGACCATAATGTGCACGTGCCTCTTCTCCCTCCTCAGAAGGCCCCATGCTGCCTGCTTGAAAGCAATGGAGAGAAAGCAGACTCTAGCACGTTCTAGTGTTTCTCAGCTAAGACAACTGTAGTGTTAGCAATACTTTGCAATATTCTGGCATTACCTCATGGAGTTCATTAGACTCATGTCCACAGCAGCAGCATCTGTGTCTACTGTGCTGTCTGGTGTTTGCTAGAACACAGCTGTATTGCCTAGCCTTTACTGTCTGCTCATTCCTTCAGTGAGCATTTGTCACCTACCTACTATGTGGCAGACAGTGTCTGCATGCTAAAGGAGATACTTCAGAGATCAGAAATAGTCTCAGAAGGTTGTGTTTTGAAGGTGTTATCATCATCAGATATATTTCCACAACTTTCTGCTGGTCAGAAGAGCAAGACTGATATTTGTGTGACAATTACTAGCACACCATGCTGGTCACTGATGCAGGAAATTACTTGTTTCTACATTATCCAGCTTCTGACTTTGATGAGATGTTCCTTTTACCCATAATTAGCAAAGCCTTTAGTTTTCAATGCTGAGCACTTGAGTGTCATGCGTTTATACCAAGAGGAAAAAACAAAACAAAAATTTCAGAAAAGAAGCTGGGTGTAGTGTCACATGCTTATAATCTCAGCACTCTTTAACATTGAAGCAGGAAAATCCCGAGTTCCTCATCATCCTGGCTGTATAGTAAGACTAGGTCTTCCCTCCCCTCTCCATCTCTCCTCACAACACAACACACACATTGCAGACAGAGAAGCAAAAGATTCTTAGTGAGCAGACTGGAGAAGGATGTGTTTTTATCTGTGGGCGACAGAATGACTTCGGCTGGGCTCTGTTTTATGTAGGGTAGGTAGGAGAATGCACCTCTGTTAAGGAGTGGGTAGAGACCCACACATGAGGGAGGGAGCACTGCATACATCTGGAGGAAGAGCTAAGAGGCGGGTTCAAAGGTCCTGAGATGGGTCCTGCTTGGCATGTTTTCAGAACACTAAGGAAGCTTGTGTTACTAGAAGCTGATTGGCCCAAGAGAGAAGATAAGAGACAAGAGGATGACAGTGGATTTCTAGGCCTGTGGACCAGGATGGGGGTTTGGATTTGATTCAAACACAATGCACAGTCCCTAGAAGGTTTGGAGCAGAGATGGAGACATTAACAGGCTCACTTTGGCAGCTGAATGGAGAATAGGACACCGGGAAACTCAAAGTCAACTACAAATGTCTGAGTGCTTGTTTCTCAGGGAGCACATCCTGGTCTGGCTGTTGGGGGCCTCTCCTATAATTGAATTCACATCTGTTTCTGTCCACCCTTTTCTGAGAGCTCTGTAGCTGCCCTGAGTTCACCTCTGGCCCCAGTCCTGTCCATGTAAGTTTCCTAACATGGCTTTCAGTGACTGGTGGACCTGGGGCCTGCTCTTGACACTTGGATGCAAAGTGCTTCATTTTTATTCTGTAGGGTCTAATGTACCGAAATGCCAGTCGATGGGGCCTCACACTGCAGACTTATGTGCAGCTCACTATGTTGGACCAGCACACTCGTCCTCAGGTACAGTTCAGATCTCACTTCCATCCTTGTCAAAAAAAACAAAAAACAAAACATCCTTTATCTTTCAAGTTTAGGGTGTCGTCAGATAGGGAAGTATCACAAGGAAGTCTGTTGGGCTTTCTTGCTGTACAGTCTTCTGTGATTACAGCAAGGTCTCCTGTCCCCACAGGTGGCTGCCCTGATGCCTCCTCAGCTCATGTTTTTGTAATCTGACCACTGATAGTATCATTTAACCGGAGTGTGCTCCTTGGACTGCAGCTGCTCTGTCATCTGGGGACTTGTTAGGATTGTACATTTCATGGTCCCTCTCCAGATCTATTGAGTCAGAAAATCTAGGGCTGAGGTCTAGCAGTCTATACTTTATCCAGCTGTGCAGGACTCATAGATGCATGTTCTGTGTGTCTGTGTGTTTAAGAACTGTTGATCAAATCTTCATGGGGACTGCCTTCAGATTCTTGAAAGAATATGCTTCACCTTGGGCCACAAATGGCTAACACTGGTTCAACAAACTGTTGGGACAGGACAGGATATTCAGGGCTGCTTAGGCCCTTGTATCAGCAGGGGTAGATGTCTTAGGAGATCAGGTGGCAAGGGAGACTGTGAGTGACACCTATGGGCAAAGCTTTATACACAGCTAGAGCCTTTCCATGTAGGATGCAACACACCCCTATAGCTATTTATATCGGCACAGTCATTAGGCTGAGCAGTTTGATCCAAACTGCTGATTACCTATAGCTGTAGTTACCTTTCTTTTGTTGACATAAATCTGCATCTTTTGAAGTTGACAGATGTGAGTAGAATCTTTGGACAAATATGAATTTCTCCTTCCCCAAATATTTCCCTAAATGATAAAGAGCAGAGCATCTACAGTTACATCACTATTCCCCTTGGTTTGCACTGCTTTGCCTAAGTGGGCACTCTAAACTATATATAATGATGTGTGAATATTATGGGATATGGGCAGATGCCTGCTAAGGAGGCAGAGACAGAGCTGGTTGGACTGAGCAGGAGAGATGGTTGAAGAGGGAGCCAGAAAAAGATAGGCAAAGGAAGATAGGAGCAGCATGTACAGAAAGGAGAGGAGGAAAGATGGATGCACAGAGATCCCAGAGGGCAGATAGGTAAGCAGAGAGTGGCTTGTAGGTTTGAGTGTGCCTGCTGTGGGCCACGCTGTGTCTGTCCACTAGGTGTCCTCCTGCTTCCCAAAAGGGTTTTGTAGCTGAAGGGAAAGATGATCCACCAAGGGTGTGAGTAACTTGCAGAAAGGTGATGTCCAGCCATCCTCTTCCCTGCTGGACAGAGAACTTCCCAGTTCCATGGGGCAGAGCCTCCAGAATGCCTTCCAGAGCCCTGTCTCAGACACTTGGTCCTCAAGTAAACAAGTTCCGCATTTCAGGGTTCCACTCACCAGACCATGTCAATTGGACAGTACTTGGCTGCTTTGTTAGCATGTTCCATATCCTAATCGAGTCTCCCTTCTCCTATGAAAGAGGTGCATTGTGGCTGGCAGCCACGCCTGTGCCCCCACTCCCCCACTGCTGCCTTTCCTGACCTTTGCCCTCTAAACTTCAGGACAAGTCAGGTCAGGATGGAAGTACAGTGAGCCTCATGGCAGATTTGGCTTCTGCCATCCTATTGTCTTCTCTTTATGTTTAGCAAAGATGAAAGGGACATTTGAGAGGGGTGGGACACGTTTTCAGAGTTTTCTGTATCTATCCTCTTCTTCACCTGAGAGTAAATCACTTTTTCAATTCCTTTAGATGTCACCAGTACGGTTGATGGAAAGGTCAATTTACAGCGCAAGATACATTTTTGTAGAAAACCTGTATAGAAGGTACTGTAGTTTATATAGTCAATTATAGTTTCTTTTTCTTCTCCCTCCCTCCCTCCCTTCCTTCCTTTCTTTTTAAAACTCTTTGCTCTTTGGGGCCCTGCCACCCAGCTCCCGAACAAACACCTGGAGACTTATTCTTACTTATGAATGCCTGGCCTTAGCTTGGCTTACTTCTAGCCAGCTTTTCTTAACTTAAATTATCGTGTATACCTTTTGCCTCTGAGCTTTTACTTTTCTCTATTCTATATGTCTTTCTTTACTTACTCTGTTGCTGGTTGTGTGGCTGGGTGACTGGGCCCTGATGTCCTCTCTCCTTCTCCTTCTTCTTTTTTTGTTCCTCCCTCTGCCCTTCAGTTGATTCTCCCTGCCCACCAGCCTGGCTATTGGCCATTCAGCTCTTTATGAGACCAATCAGTATTTTAGATAGGCAAAGTAACACAGCTTCACAGAGTTAAACAAATGCAACATAAAAGAATGCATCATTAAAAAAAATATTCTATAGTATAAAAGAATGTAACACGTTTTTAATGTTCTACAAAAGTCCATCATTTATTAAAGCACTGATTTTTGTATATGTGTATATAAGTGTGTGTGTGTGTGTGTGTGTGTGTAGGCATGTGAAGGCCAAAGGACAACCTTGGGTGTTAGTCTTCAAGAGCTATCTATATTGCTGTAATTTATTATTTTTTTTTAGATTTATTTAATTTTATGAGTATATGAGTTGTTTTTTGCTTACATGTATGTATGGGTACTATGTGTCTGGTATCCACAGAAGTCAGAAAAGGGTATTGAATCCCTTCGAACTGGAGTTACAGACATGTGGGTACTTGCTAGCAACCAAACCCACGTCCTTTGTAGTGACAACAAATGTTCTTAATCACTGAGCCATTTCTTCAGCCTTTTACCTTGCCTTTTGAGACAGGGTACGTAGAACAAATGTCTTAGTTCTTTCCTGTGGCAGCTCAGTTGGGTACTGACATGTATGGGGATCACTCTGGCCCAGAAGCTTGTTTCGCCACTTCTGAGATGCCCAAGGGCTTGCTAATGGTAGTGGTGGAAAGCTCTTTCACAGTTGAGGTCTAGTCATGGCCTACATGGCAGTGCTGGGTGATCATTTTTTCCAGAATCCTTGGAACCTTTGCTGAGGATCTAGGGTGAGAGCCTGGCTTTGTAATCTGTCATTGAGGGTTTGGGTTTCTGGAAAAGCCCACACATTGGAGTTCTATATCTCCTTAAAGCAAAATTTCTAAGGGTGTTATTGCCTTTGAGGCCTAGAACAAGTGAAGAACACCCCAAAAGAGAAGCCCACCTCTTCTGGTGGCCGTGGAAGGCAGAATGAGTGCCGTTATACCAACAGCAGCCTGAGAGCGTTGTGTAAAAAGTGCTGAAGAGGACACAGGAAGTTTTGAGCTCTGGGCACTGGGCTGCAGTGCAAAGCTGAAGAGGGACAGAGTTTATAGAATGAGTCACTCCTCCTTTCATCTCTTCATACACACGCACGCACGCACGCACACACAAAGGGTTTATTAGAATAGGTTACAAGCTGTGGATCAACCAGTCCAACAGTGGTTGTTGTCTTAGGGTTTTAGTGCTGTGAAACGACACCAAGACCACAGCAACTCTTATAAAGAAAACATTTAATTAGGGCTAGCTTACAGTCTCATCATTATTATGACAGGAAACATCACAGTGTGCAGGCAGACATGGTGCTGGAGAAGGAGCTGAGAGTTCTATATCTGGATTGGCAGGCAGCAGGAAGAGAACTGGTTTGAGCTTCTGAGACCTCAACGCCTGCCCCCACAGTGACACATCTCCTTCAAGAAATTGACACCTACTCCCACAAGGCCATACCTCCTAATAGTGCTACTCCCTATGGACCTATGGGGACCTTTTTTTTTTCAAACCACCAGAGCTGTATACCAATAGAAAGTCCAAGAATCTAGTAGTTGTTCAGTTTGCAAGGCTGGCTGTCTCAGCTGATCTTCAGTATATAGAGGAATCCTGAAAACATGGGCTCTAATTGCTACTGAAGGAATGCATGTGCCCAAGAGAGTTAAAGGCAAGCAGGCAAAGAACAAAAGCTTCCTTCCTCCAAGTCCTTTGTATTTGGCTGCCAGCAAGTGTGGCCCAGAGTAAAGGTGGATCTTCCTACCTCAGAGGTCCAGATTAAAAGTATTTCCATTTCATCTTAATTAATGTGAGGACTTAAGTCCCTCATAGCCACTGGGGTTTTAGTTAATTCCAGATGTAGTTGAGTTGACAGCCATCATTAAGTGGCATAGGAGTCCCACCTCCCACCTTCCCCAGTTACTTGCCAGCCTCAAGTGTGTTCACCTTCTCCGGTTTCCTTGCTGAGGGCTGCTGGTGACCTGCCTTGCTGTTCCCATGGGCTGCTCTGTTAGGCTCCACTCTGCTCTGCAGAAGATATCCTGGTGGTCATAGGGACCAGGGGAGTGCTCTATTCTAGGCTGTGATGGACCCTTTGTTTGGTTTTCAAAGTAGGGGTGCCTAGAGCCTCATCTCCTAGATAGCCTGGGTCTAAAAAGCTTTTCAGCTTTTACCATTCTTGTGGACTATTGGTTTAACTATGGAAAGAAGTGTTGCATTTGTTCACGTTGCTTCTGTTTAATTCTATGCTGCATTTGATTTACCTTGCCTGCCCAAGGCACCTGATTGGCCTAATAAAAAGCTGAACGGCCAGTAGCTAGACAGTAGAGAGGGATAGGTGGAGCTGGTGGGCAGAGAGAATAAGTAGGAGGAATCTAGCTAGGCTCAAGAGAAGAGAGAGCAAGGGAGAAAAAAGGGAGACATCTGGGGCCAGCCAGGCAGCCACCAGCCAGCTACCAGCCAGCTAGACACAGAAGAAGCAGGAAAACAGAATAAAAGAAAGGTAAAAAGCCCCAAAGCAAAATGTAGATGAAAAGAAACAGGTTAAAGCTAGTGGGACAAATATAAGGTAAGGCCAAGCAATCATAATTGATAATAAGTTTCCATGTCATGATTTGGAGATGGTTGGTGACCCAGAAGAGAGCCTGCTGTAGACTACCTTCCTTCTTCCTCCCCAGGGCCACAGTTGGTTCTTCTTCCCTCCCCTGGACACAGCCCAGGCACCTAGTCTCTTTGCAGCCAACCTGGTCATACCCAGGCTAAGTGGACCCCACAAGATGATATAGGTAGAAGACACTCAAAGGGAAGACTCTCCCAGGGCCTGCAAGTTCCCTGATTATTTTCTGACCTGTGCCCTCTAGCTGTGACCACTCTTGTCTGTGTTTGTGTCCTTTCTACACAGAGTGCATCAAGAATGCTGCAAGTAGAAGCCAGGTCTCCTTTTTCTTTGTTCTCCCTTATTCATATTCTCTCTCTTTCTCTCTCCCCCTCTCTTTCTCTGTCTCTGTCTCTGTCTCTCTCTCTCTGTGTGTGTGTGTGTGTGTGTGTGTGTGTGTGTGTGTGTGTGTCTGCAAGCTCATCATATCTAAGTATGGAGGCCACACGAGGCCTTTGAGCCCCGCTCTATTACTTTCTCTCTTATTCTCTTTGACTAATCAAAGCTTGCCTTTTAGTTAGACTGGCTGTTCAGGGAGCTCCGTCTGTCTCTGCACCACAGTGCTGGGTTTGTAGGCACATAGGTTTGTGTCTAGTCCCCAGCCTGAAGCATAGGAAATTGTACCCAGGCACTCATGCTTGCAGAGCAAGCACTCTTATTTACTGAGCCACCTTCCCAGCTTTAAGATTTAACATCTAAAATACATAATAATGCTACACCCCAGTCTTGTTTTTGAGTACTAGTGTGTTGTTCAAATTTGAAAGCAGCAAAGGGGAAATGTCTACAGCTGTAGTTGAGTAGTTCTGTCACTCAGAGGAAAGCACTGAACATTTTGGTATATTTCTTTGTAGTCATTTCAAATGTGTGGATGTATGCTTCTTTTATATGGCTGGGGCATATGCATACAGTTTGATCTCCTGTGTTCATTGAGCATTACTTATAGAGCCTTTTCCCTGTCTATGTTTGACTTCACTATACATACCATCTTTTAGCTACTGCAGAGATTGACCAAGGCTTCATTTCTCATTAGGCTGGATGGCATATGGTAAGCATCCATGAGTATTTTCATAGCAAAAAAGTTGTAGGAGCAAAATTGATTTGCTGATCCACTTCCAACTTGAATGATTTCTCCATGCTCATAGGACAGACTAAAGTGCTTTTATCTGCTTGGAGTTCAATTCCAAAAGCAGTCTCCATCAGTCAGTGCCATGGCCAGCCCCTGTCCCCTGGTGGTGGAAGGTCAAATAGATGCTCAGGGTTCTGTTAGTCTGTGTGGCCATCATTTGTGAACCTTGGTGGTGCTGTTCCTTTGGGGAAATGACACAGCACATGGTGAATAAAAACCTTTGAATTCTCATTACAGCGGAAAGATGCCAGAAGTTGAGTATGTGATTCTGTCTGAGTGGTTTGATTGGATCATCAGGAACATTAATGTCTCCATTGATCTGATAGGTAAGACAGTCTCTCCCGTCCCCTATCTAGAGGATCCCCTGGGCACAGCTGGGGCTTATTTGTGAGGTTTCCTCTCTCTCAGAGACAGCAGGTAGGGATACCTGCCATCCATGATTCTTTCTCCATCATAGTTCCCCAAAGACAGGCAGAATTTAGGGGTTTCTTTACTCTGTGAAGGAACTCTGGCCATGTGGTTCCTTAACCTTCCTTTTTCTGGTCAATGACTTCCAAGCCCCTCTTCTGTTCTGATCTGATGGCTCTTCTGTGTTGGGTAGGAGGGACAGAAACTGGACAGAGGCTGAAGCCAGTGGCTTGCCAGGTTCTGTGTAGGAATGGAATTCCTTTAAGCTTCGTGATGATACTCTTGTGGGGCTGAGGAAATGACAACAGAAAGGGGATTGGGGGATGAGGGTCAGGACTCCTGTTGATCACACAGAGGCTAGTGGGAGACTGAGTAGGCTTGGGCTGAGGCTGCTGCTATTACTAAGGTAGTGTCCCTCCACCTCAGCACTTGTCCTGTCCTTGTCTTAGCTCCCACACCAGGGGCACAGCAGTCAGAGCCTCTTGTGTTTTTAAATCTCAGTTTATCTTCGAACCACTCCTGAAATCTGCTACCAGAGATTAAAGATGAGGTGCAGGGAAGAGGAGAAAATCATTCCAATGGTAAGAGGCTAGAACCCCCTCCACCTCTGCTGCTAGCCCTCCCCTCCTTGCCCACCATGGAATCATCTGCATCATCTGCAGCAAGAAACAGGAAGTATAACCTAAGGCAAACGCTAGTTTCCTCTGTGGCTTTGGAGCCCTTGTGGGTGCCAAGGCTGCTTTACTTCCTATGGTTCCTGATTGAGGCTTCTGCATGCCCATGACTAGAGGGGCACATGCATGTGTACATCACGCATGCATGGTCACACGCACATTTGTTCCTGTATAGTAGTTTGTCTTCACACACATGCACAAACATGCACTCACACTCCCATAGACATACGTGCCTTTGTACAGTAGTTTCCTTGTCTTTAGCTATGAGGTCACTTCCCTGAGCTTCCTTCCACTGCCCTTCTCTTGCCTCCTACAGTGACAGCCTGCAAGACAGCATATTGACAGTGTTTGTTCCCAATTTTCTTTACAGTGTGAACACTTTTAGATTTGGTCTTACTAACTCTGTCCTCAACATATGTCCTGGGCCTGACACCTAGCAGTTGCTCGGGTAATATTGGACTGTACCTTATGTGGATAGTTGTCCTTGAAGGATAGACAGGGGCTTGGTAAGCTCTTTTGGGACATCATGGTGCTCTGGATGCAAGATGGGCTGGACTGGGGCCCTGAAAGGTTGATCTAATCCCTAAAGCCCAGCTGAGTTTTGCCTTGGATCAGCCATGACAGTCCAAGCCTGCTCTCGACGTTTCCTTGGAAATCTCAGAGACAGGATTAATAAATGGAACACCATCGAACTGAGCTTAGGTCGTGCTGTGATGGGCTTGGCTTTTCTGTGTTCTGTTCCACATGGTGGAACTGGGTCTCCCACTAGAGAAATGGCAAGAAATGGAGATGTCAGGTGGGAGGTGTGCTTTTAAACTTGGCTAGGGAAGGCCAGTGGTGGTTGGGGACTTACTGACCATTTAAACCACAGGCTTTTCACAGAGTCATATTGGTTGTTACAGGGTCCTTGTTCATGTCACATCCTAATAGTCTTTGAGAATTCTGACCTGCCATGTAGGCCTGTGAGACCCTTGGCGGGTGGGTGGGCTTTTCTCCTTTCCCACTCCCCACAGCCTTTGTGTTTCTGTGGCAGGAATACCTCAGTGCTATTCACCACCTCTATGAGGAGTGGCTGGTCACCGGTAGCCTTTTCCCAGCTGCAGCCCCTGTTCTGGTAAGTTAATGTTCCTCCTGGAGTGGAGACTTTCCTATGGGGAGGAAGGCCCAGAGACTATCACCCATGCCACAGAAAAGAGTTCCTTCTCTCTCTGCCCCCATTTGTGGACAGGCTCAGAGGCACTTGGACAGACTTGAGAAAAGCCTGGCTATTTTACTAACATGTTACCCACCACAGCATTACTACAAAGAAATACCCAGATGCCTCTTGATCTGGATTTGAGGTTAGACCTTTGGGGATAATGATCCCCATTCTTTGGTGGGTGATACAGAGCCTGTTCCTCTTGGTTAGGTGACTCAGTGCCTTCAGAAAGCATGTTAGTGGCTGTCTGTTTTTTGTTGTCACACTGACAACCTCAGGAGGTGCCGAGGCTGTAGAAGTGCCATACTGCTGCATCTCTGAGCTCCTGGGCTGACTAGTAACTCCTTGTAGCAGTGTAGATGTGTCTTCCCTATCACTATGTACTAGTGCTTGTGCCTTATGTCCCAATTGGCTCTTCCTAAATTCCCTTAGGCAGGCAGTCACATGTCCAATAGGGGATTGTTAGCTTTTGTTTATGGCGTTGGGCTGTGGGCCACATAGACATTCTGGCTCTGAGAAGCAGGCAGCAAAGCTGTGGCAGAGGACATCTTCACTGTGGGACATCTTCACTGGGAAAAGAAAACCTGAGGGGGCTAGGGAAGTAGCAAAGTATTGGAGAGTGTATCTAGATGTTTGAGTCCCTGGCAGCTCCCAGCACACCCCTGACTCCCAGTTCCAGTGAAAAGAAAAAGCATTGATGACAGGATGGATTCTTTGGTAAAAAAATTCAGTTCAGAGTATAGACTGTCCTGAAGCTTGGAGCTATGTGATTTTGCCCTCTCAGCCTCTTATACCTCCCCAGGGAGGATGGAGTCGCTTAGTGCAGCCTGTGACCATTTGTTTTATTTCCAGGTGATTGAGGCTGACCACGACTTGGAGAAAATGTTAGAACTCTTTGAACAAAACCGGGCCCGGATATTAACTCCAGAGAATTGGAAGCATGGCCCATAGGACTGGATATGGCTGCAGTCTACAAGACAGTGCCAGGAATAGCCCAGTAGGGCCAGGTTAGCTGTTTAGGAGCATTTGGAAGAATTTACTTTCAGGAGTGTGTGTCACCTGGTCAGATCTGTTGTCCTTATGGTCTTCTCATTATGGGACAAATGGCTTTTGTCATCAGGTCCTTGAAGCATACATTCCCCCCTGGTACTCCTCCTGGTGGCTTCCTAAGGTTGAAGTCCTTTGAAAAAACACTTGCTGTATCCCTGGTTTTGTTATAGCTGCTATGAAATCAGGCCACCCAGTGAGGCAAGGGAACACAGTCTTCTATCCCAGTCAAGGATTTGAAGCTCATAGAGGTGCAGGGACTCTTCAAGGTCACACAGCCAATGATTGTGGAGTTGGTACCATTCAGACACCTGGTTTGGGCTGCTTCCTCTTGAGTTGTTCCCCTCAGCCCTGCTGTTCTATGCTTCAGCTACCCCTCCCTGCACCCCCCTCCACCCCGTTCTTTGTGAGAAGAGCTGGCAGTATGTAGACTCCATTACATTTCACTGTTGGGCAAGGTTCAAGGAGAATGGATAGCACTAGTCTCTGGCACACCTCTGTTATTTGGCCTGAGCCCAGTGTTTCCTGGCATGAAGGTGCTGTAGCCTCTACATCTTTGTCATCTGGATCTCAGTGTCCATAGAGGGAATCCTACATTGGCCCTTGGATGGTGCCAGTGTCATTGAGGATGAAGGCCCTTCCCAGACTGCTGCCAATTTTGTGTCATTCTGTGTCAGATAAAAGACTTTGGGGACTTGGACACTGCTCTGTGCTGAGTGAGGCCAAGGGCAGTCAGCTGTCCTTGAGTGAGAAACGGGGCCCTTAGAATTACTGAGTGTTTGTGGCTCACGGAGAGAGACATAGTGGCCTTAACTCTATTGAACTGTTTTTCCATCTGTCTTGGACCACAGAGCATGAAGCCATCTGTGTTGGATCAGATAGTATCTTAGATTTGCTGGGCCATAGCTGCATACCGAAGGTGAAGGTGCAGCTGCCTTTTGAACCAATCAAGACCAAGAGAAAGAAAGACCATTCCTCTGGGAACAGTGGGACTGGAAAGTCAGGGTTTGCAAATAAAGTCATTTAAAGTCTTGCTGTTTTTGACATTTTGGAGTTGGTGGAGTTATTCTGGAGACGACAGACTCCAGACTGTGCACTCCGGAGAAATATAGCACGATGGGCTGCTGCTGATTGTCTGCCAGCTAGCTGCCTCTCCATAGGTGCCTGGTGGTCACAGAGAGGGCCAAGAGTTCAGCTGTTGGTCCTTTCTGTCTGTACCAATTCTTGGGCCCTTTCTATAGTATATGAGGGACAGCTAAGGGGACTTGTAATACGACAAACTGAAAGACTCAGACTAGTATTGGGGTCAGACTTCAAGCTGAATATCAGAAAAGCAAAGCAGCTGGCCACTAGCTTCTTACCTCTACCTTGGGCTGAATGGGCTGTTTCTGTCTCCAAGAGCTCTCACTAAGCCTGAGGCTGTAGCCTTTCCTTAGTGTGGCTGGAGAATGAATGCTTCTCTGAGAACTTGCTTCTGTCTTACATACTTCCTTAATGTTGAGATTAAAGGTATGAGCTATAATTCTCTTTTAGACTGATTCACACTAGTGTGGACTCAGAGATCCATCTAGATGTCTTAATCCTGAGTCCTAGGATTAAAAAGTGTGTACCATCACCACCTAGCTTCTGGCTGCTGGGATTAAAGGTGTGTGCCTGGTTTCTATGGCTTGTGACTGTGAATCTTCAGTCAACCTTTAATAAATCATAAACAATATATAATCACAGGAACCATCCATCAGTATCTGCAGTCCAACAGGGATAAATCATAAACCGGAGAAGGGCAGGACTGTACCAGCAGTCCTGACATAGGGAACCACCTTTATAATTTACAAATGAACAGTCCCAGTACCTGACTCTCTGCTCAATCAGAGCACTTGTCTGGGGGAGAAATGTGATTTTTCTCTTGCTCTCTGATAACCAATGAATTCTACATCTAAGCCCTGATGTTAATTTTCTTTTTCTTTTTTCTTTTTTGGCCTCAGATAGCCCAGACTGGCCTTAAACCCTCTACCGAAAGTTCTTTTTGCATCAGCCTTTTTAGTGCTGGGATTACAGGCATGCGCCATCATGTCAGGCTTGTATGTTCATTTTTAATTTAATTTTTTAAAATGTATTTGTTTTGCCTGTATGTACAAGTGTATACCTGGTGACCATAGAGGCCAGAAGAGGGGATTGGATCCCTTGGGACTAGAGTTATAGGCAGTTGTGAGTTGCCTTGTGGGTGCTAGAAGTTGGACTTAGGCTCCCTAGAAGAGCAGCCAGTGCTCTTAGCCACTAAGCTATCTCCAGCCCCATGTGTTTGTTTTTAAAATAACCCCCAAAAAGAGCCTGCTTGTACCTCTTGACACCTCAGATAGGAAACCATCTACAGCAGTGGCTGTGGTTGTTTGTAGAAACCTTCCAGCTCAGTGATCGCTGCTATTTGTCAGGCAGATCTGCATTGATCTTGGGGTCAAAGCAAGGATACGCTGTTGTCTTCAGGGATGCCAGCCCTTACCATGCTCTACCAGCCACTCAAGAGCAGCTCTAGGAAGCAATGTCCTGTGTCTAAGAACTAAACTCTATGGCCTATCATGTGCTACCAGCCCTTTTCTGGCCATGAGATGTTAGTGCTGGTAACTGCTCCATGACCCCTATATCCCTACCAGATCTGCCTGACAGCAGCGATCACTGAGCTGGAAGGTTTCTCTAAACAACCACAGCCACTGCTGTGGATGTCACCTGCTAAGGCGCTTCATGCTTTATGCTTGAGATTATTTATCAGTCACAGAAGCACACACTGCTGGCAGTGTGGGCAGGTTGGAAGAGCCAGGTAGCTGTTAGGCCAGGCCAATCTCTGACTGAGGACCAGCAAGAGCAACACTTGTGGACAGGTGAGGTATGTTCTGTGTTGTCTCTCCGGATCCCCTGTGGAATTGGCTCAGGGTGGTACTGTTCACAGATGTGTCCTTTGCTGAGTCTCGTCTCTTCCTCACCCCAGTTCCCCCCAGTTCCTTCACCTGCTTCCTGGGGTCACCTCTCAAATGAGCCACTTACACCCAAATCCACTGCTATGGAGGGAAATCCAAACTGGGAGAACCCCTCCTCTCCTCCTTCCCCCACGCCTCCCTCCCTTGCTGCTTTCCTCATATCCAGTACTTATTAGTTACTCTTTCAGCCCCTCATTCCTTCATCTGGGTCAGACTCACAAACTGCACTTTGGAGGGTCACTTCACAAACAGTCCTTTGTGGCCAGTTACATTTGGGAAACTCTGCTAAGCAAGGCCCCTTTACTTCTTGCCTCCAGGATTCCTCAGACTGAGTATCAGGAACGTGGGATATGGACTTCTTAGAGGGAAAGAAATGGATGGTACTTCCAACCTCTTGGACTCTGGCTTTCTAAATAAAAACAAATTATTTTTAATTATGCATATGCCAGCATATTTGTATGGCACCCCACATGTACCCATGCAGTCCAGAGAGGGTCTTGGATGCCCTGGAACTAGAGTTATATGTGGTTGGGAGCCCCTGGATGTGAGAGCTGGGAATCAGATTTGGGTTCAGCTGTATAATACTGCTTTTTCCTAAGGCCCTCAAGCCAATTGTGTTTTCAAAGGTCCTTGGCCAGGTAAGGTGAATGAGACAATCTAGGGAGGAGGTCAGTAACTTGAGGCTCTTGTGGGATCAGCTAGGTGCAACCCCTCTTCCATAACAGCAAGCGGCCTAGCTGCTTTACGTGCACATACTATGCACACACCCCTCTGTAATCACGTAGCCAACAACCTTGGCCCACCACCTGTGTTAAAGTTGCATGCACTCTTCTTGAAACAATGGGATAAGTTCCTCCTCCTCTGACAACAACCAGATATATTCCCAATACCTCTTGGTATGAAGAATAGAAAGGCTGGCCTGGCCTCAGCTGGTTTGGGTTGTATATGCAGGGTAAGGAAAAACTGTCCTGGTATAAGTTTTTAGGAAGAATCCTCTATTTTTACCATCTTATGCCTATGCATAACAGGGTGTGTATGATGAAAGTCAGATGCATTATGGGAAGGGGTAAACACAGCAGGAAGATGAATAGATGACCAAACCCATAAGTTAACACAGAATCACCCTCACACCACTTCTTATAAACAAACAATTCATTCTCTTGGGTACCATAAAAGGAATCCCTGAACAATAATCAGAGCCTGGAGTATCCTCACTCATGACAGTGTGTCCCTCTGTAATCTATACTATCACTTCACTCTGATTAAAGTTACTTGCTATTTTTATTTTTTGAAAATTGGCATGAACCTTTATTTTCACTCCTTTGAATAAGAGGCCAAGAACCTTGAAATATATGACCCAACCCTGACAGCTCTGACCACCAGTAAGGTTCTGGGAGTAGGATGGGAAGGGAGTCCCTCTTGGGTCTATCATTCTAATATCTAGCTGATATTCAAAATTATACTTGTCCAACACCGTGAAACTTTGTGGTTGAGAATGGGAGATTTCTAGGTGGGGATATATAGGACTCTAGGTCCTTGCACTGTCTAGAAGGCCAAGAAGTGTGTATGTGGGAGAGATGGGTAAAATGAATCTCAGTTCTCCTGTTTTGTTTTTTTGTTTTTTGTTGTTTTGTAGTTGCTTTTGTTTGTTTTGCTTCTGAGACGGGGTCTCATGTCACTCAGAGTAGCCTCACACTCATATGGAGTTGGGGCTGGCTTTGAACTGATTCTCTGGCCTCCATCTGAGTGCTGGGACTCACTTGGGTACCTCAGACACACACCACCATATGCACCACCATGTCTGGCTTCTTACCTCTTTCTTTCATTCCTTGGCTCCAAGCAAATTTGTCCCTTAAAGAGAAGGCTGGAGTGACCTTCACTAGTCCAGACCTCAGACTGGCAGACTGTCTCCTCCCTCTCACGTATTTATTCTGCTGACTTTTGATGTCTCACTAAGTTAACCATTTTCTGCAACCTAGATGGATGTTCTAGTTCTCAGCACTTGGGAACTCATCATGTCTAAGATCCACTCACCTCTTCTAGTTCTCATAGTAGGCTATGATTAGAAGGGGGATGAGCACACCAGGCATGGTCCCTGGTCTCCCCTCTTTGGCATCCCATGTTTGAACAGGTTCTGCTTCTTCATGGCAGCTTTCCAGCCTGACACCTGGCTCCAGGTTGGCCTGCCACAGCCTGGTGTGTTTGTTGTTCAGAGAACCAGCTCTGCTTTCTGGGTCCTCAAGAGAAACTGCTTTCACTAGTGTGCTTAGCTTTGGGGAAACAATGGGGATTAGGAGGGAGGTGGGACAAGGGATATTCAAGGATGGCTTTGATCCCAGGACACTGGGGAACCTTCATTTCAACAGCTTCTAAGGTCCCTGTATAACCTACAGACTTGAACTTATAAGGGAGGGAGAGTCAGTTAAAGGTGCTGCCTAGGCAGAGGGTCCCAAGTCTGAGACTCAACACTTAATTGTCATCAAGCTCATGCATAACACCAGGGGAAGGGCAGTTTTCCTTTAGAACTATATCTTGTTACAGTTTTCTATTCCAAAGCCCCACTCAGCCCACCCTCTAGAGAGTAACCAGCTCCGATTCTGGACCCCCAGTCTCTGGTAGACAACTCAAGACACTTAGGAACAGAGAGAGGAAGAGAGAGACTATAAGGAGGAGAGACAATAGTCCTAGTGAGACAGTCCTGAGGGAGAAGACAGTCCCTAGACTGTAGCCTCAGGCCCTATGTGATGCCACAGATCCATGCCTTAGACCTTTGCCCAAATCTATGTTTCTCTTCAGAAGCAAAGATGTATAATAACTGTGGGTGATTGTATTTCTTGTGAGGGTCTTGCACATCCAAAACTCATAGTATGGCTTTAGCGGGGAGTCTGCCTACATCTAGGCATAATGGACATTGGAGCTGAGCTTCTCTGGGCGCAGTGCTTCCTCTCTGCCCCCTCACAAAGAGAATCCTTGGGGCTAAGAGTCAGGATATATTCAGCATTTTGCCTAGTGAGTCCAGTGTAGCTGGAGGTCATTTCTGACTTCTTCATCAGCTATAGACCAAGGTCAGCATTCATCCCCTGCCTTGCCTTCCTGGCCATTTTTTCTCATTATTTTGTAGATATCATTGACCCTGGTTGGCAGTCACTGGGACTGACAGTTGGTGGGTAGAACCAGGATAGATAGGTTATGGTGGAGAGGGCCAAGATGGGTAGAATGGTAGGTTGGACATGTGGGTAGGATAATGGGTAGGGTGGAGGAAACAGGCTAATGTTTGATGTTCTGTGATTGTATAATCTTCTTTATCTCATCTCCTCTTTTGGAAAATCCACCCCAGGATAGAATATTTGGTTCTTCTTCCTCAGAGTGGCACATGTTCTCTGGCCAAAGATGATCAGAGATCCCCTTGCCCTGCCCCCAGCCACAGCCACTTAAATGCTCCAGGAGTCCTGTTCAGTCCATTCAGATTTCTGTGAGATATTTATATTTGATTTCTGGCAAAGAGAGAGGGTCTCTTTTCATTTTGGGTCAGGAACCAACCAACTCAGACATGGGATGTCTACTGTCATTTCTCAGGCGGGAGAATGAGGACATTGTGGTGGTCAGAGTCCAGAGAGACTATATATCAATACATGTCCTTGGATTTTCTGGATCCAGCTATGCCTGAAATCTGATTTATCACTTGACAATTTAGTTACATGAACCAGTAAGTATTCTTTCTTGCCTCTTGCAGTTGAGTGAAAGGGAGGGTGACAGTTAGTGCTCACAGCCTGTCAGGGGGGGTCAAGCTCTTCCTTTCAATAGATACCAACCTATACTACTCTACAGTTGCTCCCCAGGCCCCCAGGGGTCATGCTGAGTGTGGCAGTTTTGTGGCTGAGGCTTGATAACAGGGCTGCCACCTTGGGATTTCTTGGAGATACGCTGGGCAGACAAAGCTATGCTATAGCCTTGAGGGCAAAGGTGTGTCTAGCCTCCAAGCTCAGGTCCACTAACCTTGCCTAGAAAAGGCTCCTGGGCTCCAGAGAGCTTGGGCTTGGGAAATATGCAGTTCAGTAGAACAGAACCCAGGACAATAGATATTCTCCCTCTGATTATAAAGCTATGACCTTTCTGCTCATGTGCAGTCCCTGAACAACCATGCTAATGTCAGAGGATGCAGATGGGAACATCTGGGCATGAGTGTGGGCTACATCAGTATGTGCAATACCTGGTTGTGCATATGGAAGCTCTGCATACAAGGGTTATTAGCAAGGCTGTCTGAGTAAATGTGTTATGAAGCCACAGGAGGTGGGAGTTAAGCAATGATGCCACAAGGGGGTGGGGGGGGGAGGGAGGACAGTGCTAGCTATACAAACTTGGTTTGTGTGAATGTATGTGTAACCCAAAGATGGTGGATGTTACATAAGGTGCATGGACTGCTATAGCCTTACTACTGTCTTATTCTTCCCTATTTGCTTGGGTGAGGCCTATCACTCAGCTGTGTCAGAGGCCTTTGGTGCTATCCAAAGCCTGGTACCTTTGGTGTCCATCCATAATGACTCAGTTACTTTGCCTGCCAACAGTTGTGGTTTCCCTGTATGAAGTCCTCCTCTGATCACAAGAGTCTGCATGGCAGGAACCAACACTCTGTAAAGGGAAAGCTCCAACAGTGCTGCGAGAGCCAGGTGTGAGTGATGCAGATAGGTCACCTCAGGAAACCTGACTTCAAGGCATGGTGTGTAGCATCTCTTGGATTGCTAGTGGAATAGAGTTCTGTAGCCCATGTCCTCCCAGGCTTCCATCCCCTCCTTTCACTGCTCTGAGGCTACTTCCCTAACCAGTCCATTGGAGAGCATGGTTGTGTTCCAGTATCTGGTCCTGCTTCCTCCTGGCATATCATCTAGATGGTGGATCATCACATCACATCTCTGAGGATTCCAGGCACCCAGCTGTTCTCCTTGGGCCTCATTTCCTGGAAAAGAGAGGAGTTAGACTCCTTGAAGGATCATGCAGAGTCTTGAGCATGATGTCCACAGCCCAAGGAGTGTGTGAATGGGAGAGAGGGGGAGAACCAAGAGGCTGATAGTCCCAGGAGCTTAAGTGTTTAGAATGAGTGTCAGTGTAGGTGGTCTGGGTGGGAGTCGGCACATGGCTAGACACCATCACCATGAAGGAGCCAGAGCCCGAGCATAGAGCATAGTAACATATAGAACAGAAGAGGAAGTATTTCACATAGAGAGAGGAGATCATAGCCAACAGGAAATCCCAGAAACTGAGACTGAGGGACAGTCCCCTTTACAAAAGGAGACAACAGGTTCAACCTCACAGAACATCTCAGTAGTAGAAGACAAGCCTAGGATCCAAGTGTCAAGTTCAGCATACAGTTTTAGAGTGTCCTGTGGCAGGAGTTTCCTCATTCTAGGGTCCACTGTGACAAGTTATAGCAAGTAGCCAGCAGGTGGCAGTGTGGACTTGAGAGTGGACAGTGCTGGGCAGCAGACCTACATTTCTTCAGCATGGGATTTCCAGAAGGCCCCCCTCCCACGCTTGTTTCAGATGACACCCACTTTCAGGGCGTGATCTTGGGGACTAGGCCTATGCTAGTGTACTGGAGTTGTAGTGGAAGGGAACCATGCCCAAGAAAGGAAGTCAGGCTCCATCTGTAAAGAGGTCACCAGGTCTGAAGGGCAATAGGAAAGAGGAGTGTTTCTGCAGAGGGGAGCGAAAAGCACACTTCTGTCTTGGGAGGAAAAGCCTTTGGAGTACTGAAGGCCAGAAGGTGGCACTTAGTGTGCCTGGAATTAAGTCCTGAAATTGGTGGCTCATTGTATTCACATTAACACCAGACAGGTCTCAGAAGTTGCATTATGTTTCAGTGAGGCACAAAAAACAAAGAAAAGGGGGCTGGGGAGATAGTTTAGTAGGTAAAGTGCCTGCTGTACCACATAAAAAGCCAGATGCTACAGTACAGGCTGGGAAGTGGAGACAGGAGTTTTTGGGGGCTTGGCTAGTCTAGACTGTTAGGTGTCTCTGGGAACTAGGGAAGCAGAAGAGAAGGAGGACTGCCAGCTGGGTTACACAGCAAAATCTTGTTTCAAAACAAACCAATAAATAAATAAATACATACAAAAAGAAAAAAAAAAAAAAAAAAAAAAAAAAAAAAGCAGAGGAAACAGAAGCGAAATCCTATGAGCCTGACTATGCAAACACCCCCATCTACAGGAGCACAACCTGGCTTCGCTGGCTCAAACCTGAGGTGTAGCTGCTGGGCATGTAAGCATTCGGAGGCAGATTTAAGATTGCTCCTATTTAGGGGGTTCTTTTCCAATCAGTTTGCAGACATCCAGGACCCCCATGCACTCCTTGAAAGTGTTACTTCTCTCTACATCTTTGTTGATATGATGTATTTATTTTGAACACAGAAAAGATACATTGCTGTTTATTCAGCCTAATCTAGGAAGGAGAAAAGCTGTCCTGTAGATCCCTCCAACATGATGAGTAGGCAGGGATGTTTTTTTTTTTTCTTCCTCCAGCACTTCCCAGAGCCACAGAAACAGACTGCATTTCTTAAAAAGAGTCTCATCCCTGGGGTGCATTTGAAAGGCAATACAATGCAACAGACATATTTTTGCCTAGAAAGCAAAACAGCACAAAGGTGGGCAGAGCTGCTTGTAAACAAGTTTCCCTCCCCCAGGTGGAGATCCTGACTCTAGAATATACTGGAAGGATGCTACGAACCTGTGGGTGGGTCCCTTTCGATTCTGCATCAGAATAAATGCTATTTCTATAGGAAATAAAATTCAAGATAGCCGTCCTCGTCACCCTCTGCTTAAGAAAGGGATTGCTGAGTTTTCTTAGCCCTTCATTGGAGAAATTGAAATGTGGGAGGAGGTTCAATGGGGGTGGGTCTGCTGCTTTGGGATGAGTTACAAAAGGTGGGGAGTGGGGGAGGCAGGGTGTCTCATTCCCTGCCACCATCAATGCTGGCAGGACACTATTCAGAGATGCTTGGCAAGCTGGGTCTTCCAAGATCACCTTTGTCACCTTATATAGTCTTTGATGGAGATTGCTAGAGTTCACAGGCTAATACCAACTTTTCTCCAACCAGCTGTCTCCACATAATTGCTTCTGTGGCTTCTGTTGGAGTCTTCTCATAATGGCATGGTGTTTTTTTTGTTTTGTTTTTTGTTTTTGTTTTTGTTTTTGTTTTTTTTTTTTGTGGGGGTTCGTATTCCTTTTATTTTTTTCTCTGTGTATGTCCCAGAGAGGCAAGATCAGAATTCATCAACTCAGTCCCCAGCTGTTAGTTGCCACCATGGATGACAGCACTGGCTCTTGGGTTAGCTTGAGATCTCTTGGGCTCAGGCTGCCAGGGCTGGCTGGCACTTACTGAGCAGTGGGCCCTTCCGAGCCCCTGAGTAAGTGTTCAAGTAGCACTGCCTTGAGGCTACCCATACCTTCTCTTCCTTGAACTCCCAAGCCTGGCATGGACATGGGAAGAACTGTGACCTTCCTCCATGACACATGCCCAAGGGCCTCTCCTCCCCCTGTAACTGGGGTGGGTGTCTGAGCTAACCCCACTAGCACCGCCAGACTGAGGACATTGAGACAGCAAGGGGCTCAATGGGCTGTGAGGACCTCCAGGTCACGCCTAAGTCACCAGACCTGTTTCTCCACTCTGTAAGTGGCAGGGTGGTAACATTGTGGCTCTTCTGCCCTGGAGTAGAAAGATAGGCACAGTGCTCAGTGGACCTGCCTTGGCTCCCAGTGGGAAAAGCCCTGGGGTAGGGCTTGTGGCAGGAAGTGGACTAAGCGGCTTTTGCAGGATAATCAGATTGTGGCCTCATCCTAGAGGAGGCTGGGGAGAGGGAAGGAAGCAGGGAGGGCTTCCTACCTCACCCCTGCCCACACTGTTTAGTGAGGCACTACTATCCGGTGCGAGGCTAGGGGTGGGAGTGCAGAGAGACCACCAGATGGGGGACACTTCTTCTGAAGGAAACCTGCCCACGTTAGTTTCTGTGGTAGTGGGACCTGTGTATATGCAGGTGTCTATATATGTGTGGTATATGTCAGTGTGTGCACTTGGGGTATGCCAGTGTATGTGTGTAGTCATATATGTGTATGTGCATGAGTTGTATGTGTACCTGTGTGCCTGGAGAAGATAGGGTAGCCTGGAAGGACCAGTGGGACTTATGCGCTGGGTCACTCACACAATCCTCTCAGGGCTGGCAGTTGGAGCCTGGGTTGAGGTGGGTGAGCCCTGGGAGTTAGTTGGCCAGGGTTCTGGTTCTGGCAGTGGCAGCAGGTCAGATGGGGAGCCTGCTCCACACACAGCTTCATAAGGTGGCAGCGTGTCCATGGAGACAGTGTGCAGGCCACTCTGGCCCTGGGTCCTCTGCTCCTGGTGATGCTGGCTGTGGCGATGGTTGCTGCCTGAGTCCAGGGCATCATTCAGCACAGGGCAGGAGTCAGTCAGCGAGTAGGGTGGTGGTGCATCTGTGGGGACGTACAGCTGAGTGGCCCCTGGTCCCACGCACTCCTCATAGCTGTGAAAGAAGAGTTTTCACTCAGGAGTTATGGATCCCTAGGCCTTAGGGCAGGTGGAAGAGTCTGTTACTTGTGGTGAGGAACTACCCTCATTGTGAAAGATGTCCGGTCTCAAACATGCTGGCTCCTATGAGAGACCACTAGTCCCCAGAGAAGACAGTCTGATACCCTTGAGACATGGGTCCTGGGTCCATTTTACCTCACATCCCATGTGAACCCAATCAAGTCTCAGTCTCAGTCTCTCTCTCTCTCCTCTCTCTCTCTCCTCTCTCCTCTCTCTCTCTCTCCTCTCTCTCTCTCCCCCCTCTCTCTGATTCCCTGAAGCAAGAGCAGCCATAGTCTAAGACCAGGCTGGGCACCATGAATGGGCCAGGTAGTACCCCTGAAATGTCTCCACTGCTGTCTTCTAGGTTTAGGAAGGAGCCCCTGGGGTCTCTGAAGCCACATCTCTGGGGCTAAGAGCATCTGCTGTTTCTCCCAGAGCCACTGGTAAGAGGTAAAAATAACATATTTGCCAGATACAGGGTCTGCAGTGGGAAAGTGACAGGACTCTGATCCTCTGCTCTAAATGATAGTGATTGTAGGTGGCTGGGAGAACTCAAATGCCCAAGAAGGCACTGTCACTTTACGGGGTCCGATGCCCCAGTGAGGGCTGGCCATAATTCCTAAGCAGAGTCTTAGTGTGCAGCAAGCTTCCTTCTAAACCCCTCCCTTGTCTTTACCATGGTCCCGAGAATATCACCTCCCTGTCCCCCAAGGAGTTCAGCTGCTTTAGCCTGTATGGGGAAGGAACTGGGCTCCATAGGTTATCACTCTGTCCTCGTGGCTCATCTAAAGCACAGGGCCAACAGGAGCTACTTTGACTGGTGTGGAGGTGCACGGAGATAGAGTATGGGAGGAGGTAGGGCTCTATGTGAGTCAGAGCTGTCTAGGGGGACAGCTGATAAAAAGTCTTCTCTGCCTGGGCTAACTGAGATTGGGCCCTGAATAGCCTACAGCAAGAGTGTGAGAAGGTGAGGACAGGACTGGAAAGGCAGGGTCTCATGCACACCATTGTCACCCAACAGATGACAGGGGCTAGCCAAGTCTGGGGACTCTGTGGTTGCACCTGCAATGTATGAGAAAGGCTGATCTTGGGGTGGGCATGGATTCTTGGTGTCACAAATAGAAGCTCAAGAGATTTTTCTCTCTATATGGACACTGATCCCATGGCCATGACCCTGAACACCCTGCCATTCTCACTCCCAGGGAGATCCCTGGAGAAACTCGTAGGGCTCCCCAAAACTGACATGAGACCATTCCAAAACTACAAGCCTCCTGTCCCCACCACCCATCAGCCCGAGGAATCCCAGCTGGTCTCTGTAGGCCATCCTGGTGACATTTCCATCCTCAAGGGGGCTTGCTTGATCAGAGGGCAGAGGCTGTGGCCATGCCCACTGGGATCCTTTTGTATTTACACACGGGCAACTGAGGTTCTTTCCCTGGGTGGGAGACCTTTTTATCTAGAGGGTCCACTTCTCTTCCCACCACGAGGCCTCCTTACCCTGGTGGAGAATCTGGGTACAGCTCCCTGAGCACTGTGACATCCACATCCCCATCAGAGCTGATGTCCAAGGGTGGAGGCCAGTCTTCAGCAGGGCTACAGGCATAGGGCATCCTGTGGCTGGAGTGGCTGTGCATGTGTCCGCCAGGTGCTGCAGAGAATAGAAGCACAGGCAGGTGCTAGGGACTTCCCTCACAGTAGCAGTCTATCTGAGGCTCGGAAGTCCCCACATGACCACCCCTTATCAGGCACCACTGCCTCTGTCCCGAGCCCACTGCCTGAATGTGAACACTTTGCAGTTCTGGGAGTGGAGTCATAGGGAGGAGATGAGGCTAGACCTGTCCTGAGGAGCATGGATGACAGCTTAGCTCAGGGCAGCCTCGGCACTGGGCGAGATCTGCCAAGCTTTGATAAGTTAGTACAGGACTGTGGGAGAAGAGATATGTGTGCTAGGACACATGTGACTCCAGTGACTAGTTCCCACTCCCCATACAGAAGACTTCTCCTTATTCTTGATCCAACAGCAATGGATCTAGATCAGAAACAATATCCATAGGTCCAATTCTGGGATTATGCATGAGAACAAAGAGAACTCTCAGAGGAGAAAACTACAGACACATCCATTCACTATTGGTGGCTCTGCCCTTCTGGCAGGTCATGGTCTTATTTTATCCTCCACATTGCCTATATTTTTAAGGTTCTCTATAATGACTACATACTACTTTTCTACTAGAAAAAAATAAACCCAGTAACAGGCTGTGCAAGAGGAGCTGAGCTGAGATTGATTCCCCTCCAGGGTGTCAGCTGAAAGATAGGAGACTTGGAACAATGTGGGAGAAGAAAGCCTGGAGAGATGAGACAAAAATTAGACAGGAATTAGGCCGGGGCTACTGGGCACGAGCTGGGGTCCTGCAATGCCAGCATTGCCCAGAAGAGTCTCTGGGCTCAGGCAGGGTGGATCCACTTGCAGAGCTGCAGGTTACTGCAGCTGTACCTCCTTCTGCAACATACATACATACATACATACATACATACATACATACATACATATGCACACACACACGCACACACAACCTGGCTGGGGAATTGTAGTCCTCACCCTGGAGCCTTGCCACAAAGACACATGAAGATCACTCCTTCCATAGCCTCTGGAAAACCTTCTTTGGTCTGGGTGCAGATGGATGAACAATATACAGACTCTACTCTCATAGATGTCACCCCTGTGACGGAGGCTGAATGTGTGGGTATGAGAGCAAGGAAGAAGGGGCTTCCCATTTCACTTTCCTGGTAGGCATAAGGAGGGCTGGAGGTATTTGCCAAAGGGAGTAAGCAGCCTTTGAGTCAGGCCCAGGCAACTTCAGAGCAGTGGGCAAAGAAAGAAAGCATGTTCAGTAGGGTGGGTGCTGAAGGAGCATGGTCAGATGCATGAAGGGGGCAGTAGGTGCTATGTGGGAGGGGCAGGATGGCATGAAGGATACACTGGGTCCATCTAGTACCATTCTTGGGTACAATTAAGAGAGCACCTGGGCTCCTCATGGGAGCATAGGTCATGTTAACCTGGCATGGGTTCTACTCTAGTCTTCTAGGGAGAGCTTAGCCCCTGGGCAGACTTGGGGCCTGGGCTGGCTGTCCATGTAAACCTGCTGACTTTTCTTTCTAATTCTAGATGGTTCATAGCATGTCACACTAACAGGCCATCTTTCTTTCATTGTGGCTATGGCTCCCTGACAGATGACAGCCTTCCCTGTCTAAGGTCTGGCCTCTTGCTTCCTTCTAGACTTGTTCCAGAGGAGCAACATCTAGGTTTGAAGGACCCTTGGCATGGAAGTGTCTGCTGGCCCTGGCGCTAAGCCCACAGTTGGCCCTTTAGGGATGTGCAAGGGTCAGTCTGAGTGCACCCAGGACAGCTACCAGGGCTCACATCTCTAACCTGCCTCTTGCAAGAGGTTGACTCTGGTCTATTGCTCAACTGCTCCAGTCTCAATTTTGGATCAGCAAATTGGGAGTGGGGAGCAGAGCTAGCTACTCAAAACTGTCCGGGGAGGAGGATTTTGCATAATGCAAAGGAAGCCCCAGACATGTTAAGTGCTCTTAGCCACTAGTCCTCTGCTAGCTTCAGGTGATCCTTAACTGCTAACAGGTGGCCCAGCCCAGCTGGTTCTTCCTTGCTCCCAGCCTCTTGCCTTGGATAGGGGAGGGCCCTTCAGGTCCCATACAAAACTTCAGTTACAGTGAGAAGCTCCCAGGTAAACCACTGTTCTTCACTTAGATCTTTGGTGGTCTATACCAGGAATGAGCTAGAGTCAGTGGCCATGTTCTGTAAAAGTTCATGCATTCCTGGCACTGGTACCTCTGCCTCAATAGCCACTGTTGTATGACAGGAAACCCTGAAATAATTTGCTTTTTCTTTGTGGGCTCTCAGTGATACATTTTCACTGATCATTATTCTATCATCCATCCATCTATTTATATACCTACTCATCCTATTCATACTCTACCTGTTCTCATTTATCCATCTTCCCAGCCTTTACTCACCCATCTCTCTCACATAAGTATGCCACTTGATTCACATGTATACACACACACACACACACACACACACACCTTTCTACCCCCATTCATCTATTTCTCTATGGGTCAATGCATCCATCATACCCATTTATCCACCCATCCCCTCCACTAATTTATGTACAGATCTATGCATTCAATCCCTTTTGTACCCATTTCTCTACTGGCCTGGTCCACCCACTGTCCCTGTCTGTCAGTTCATTCACTCATCCATCAGTCTTTCTACTCATTCACTTCCCCTCTCATCCATATCTCCAGTTACCCACTCACCCATCCTTTCTCATCCATCTACCTGTCTACATTGCTCATCCTTCTGTTTATCCACTTATCCACCTATCTGTATCTCCATTTATCCATTCACCTATCCACTCACCCGGCCTTCCATCTCTCTGTTCAACATCTCTCCATTTGTCTGTCTACCTATCTATCTACCCACCCACCTAACCATCTCTCTATTCACCCAATAACCCACCTACCCACCTATCTACCTACTCATAAATCCATCTCTCCATCCATCTATCTCTCTATCCATCCATCCTTCCTTCCATCCAGATGCCAGCTGGACCTGTGTCAGCACAGCATGAACCAGCAGTGGCAGTGGCCGAGGAGCATGGCACAGTCTTCATCTGGCCTTCAGCCTCTCCCTAAGCCTTTCTCTTGGTAGACTATAGGCCTTTCATGCTTTGGAGGACATGACAGTGGATACCTGTGAGCTACTTCTGGTGGACAAGGATACTTTCCTGACTCCAGGCCATCTCTGGACACCTCCTTAAGTCAGTCACAGTGACAGGAGTAGCATGAGCCAGAGCTCACCTTGGCCCTGTTCGTATTCCTGGTGTCGGTGCCGGCGGTGGCGGTGATGGTGATGGTGGCGGCGGTGACGATGGTGGTGTCTCTGGATCCGGGCCTGTCTGTCCCTCCTGATGCTTCCCACAATGATGGTGATGCAGGAGAGTGTGATGACCACACCTATGACAGCGCTTGCCACCAGCACTGGAGACACCAGCAGGTGGCTGTGCTCAGAGCTCTCGGAGAACGTGGTAGGGTAGAAGTAGCTGGTACGGTTGTATCGTGCTACTGTGGACAGAGAGAATGAACACTGAGCTGGGTCCTGTGCCTGCCTCACACCTTCTTCTTTCAACCCTGCCATCTTGTGAGTTGTTTATCCCTAAATAAATGGAGGATAGTCAGGATCAGGCTTCTCACCTTGGTTGATCCTGCTGAGTGGGAGGGGAGCTGAGTACCACCTAACTCTCTGTAGGGGCTTCTGGTGTTTGTAGGCTATCCTCCATCATTTCTTCTGTATCTTCTGCTGTGGGCCCAACTAGCCCACAGATAGGAAAACCCAGATAGGGCAGTGGCCCTGCTCAAGGCAGAGCTGAGGCTCAAACCCAAGAATCTTAGTACTAGAAGAGGACAGATGTCAGGTCAAAACATCACAGATGTCAGGTCAAAATGTCTTTACCAAGTCTTGGGAAGAGGCAAGAGGTGTGTAGAAGGCAGAGTGTGAGGACTTGAGGCAAGGGTCTCAGGGAGGGACAAAAATAAGTCAGAGCAGCCACAGGCACCTGCCACATGGCTCAGGGATAGCCATCATCTGATTGAGTACCACTGAGTTCCTCCAACTTGCTGAGGCTGATGGTACAGTTGTCCCTCATCATAGACAAGGGGGTTGGGGCTCAGTGCTGGAAGAGTCCATCCCACAGCTGACTAGTTACTCTGTTGCTGAGCTAAGCTAGAAGTAGGCTCCCAAGTCCAGAGGTCACTCTCTAGCATCCCTGGCCTTCAATGGGAGTCTTTCCTGAGGTGTATTCCCAACCTCTGGGCAACAGTGGGACACAGACTCTCAGCCTTATTGGACCTCAGGAGTATGGCAAGCATAGTGGAAAGTCAGGTCATTCCTGGGCCCTGTTCTGAGAGGAGTTTCCACCTGTCTTCCCACAGCCCATGTTAGGTCCACCCGTTGCTTAGGATTGTATGAGGTTTCCAGGCCTTGCATTTGATAACCCTTTGTGTCTTCATGTTCAGCAACCAGGCCAGGTAAATGAAAGGTACCTAATATATGTATGGTATGAGTGAATCCAGACCTGAGACCAGATGGGAGAATGCCAGGGAGGGTTTGAGTTGCTTTGGAGGCACAAGGCTTCTGTTTTGGGTGGTAAACAAGTGGAGTTTGAATGGTGACCTGCCCAGGTAGCTGCAAAAAGGCTTTTTATCCCGTGTGATGGTCTTTACATCCTCCATTCAAGGGTGGCTGTTTTTCTCTTCAAATTCCTTTCCAGCACTTGCCCTAAAGCCCCACCACACCCAAGCCCCAGCAAGGTGGGTAAAGGAAGAATTTGGGATCTTAGTTGGCACTAGAACATGCCTGGCAGCAGTTTTTGTTCATATTGGGAGCTTCTGCAGTGCACTGATCATCATCAGTAGGGGGTGTGTCACTGTTATCCATGCCTGATGCCCATACTTTGATTGCTGAAGATCAGTTTTAAAAACTCCCCTGGTGGAAATGTAAATCATAACCACTCTGAGATTCCATCTTACACTGATCAGAATGGCTAAGATAAAAAACACCAATGGTAGCTCATGCTGGAGAGGATGTAGAAAAGGGGGGTCATTCCTCTATTGCTGGTAGGAGTGCAAACTTGTATAGCCACTGTGGAAATCAGATGGCTGTTTCTCAGAAAATCAGGGATCAACCTACCTCAAGACTCTGCACAGTCACACCACAAGGACATTTCCTCAGTTATGTTCATAGCAACATTATTTCCAGATCTTGGAAACAGTCTAGATGTCCCTCAACTGAAGAATGGATTAAAAAAAAATATGTGGTATATTTACACAATGGAGTACTACTCAGTGGTAAGAAACCGACATCTTAAATTCACAGGCAAATGGACAAAACTAGAAAAAAACATCCTGAGTGAGGTAACCCAAAACCAGAAAGACAAATATAGTAAGTACTTACTCATAAGTGGATACCAGACGTAAAGCAAAAGATACCCATCCTACAATCCACAACCCCAGAGAAGCTAGAACCCTCTTCCAGAAATAGATGGAAGCATATGTAGAAATCCACAACTGACTATTTGGCCAAGCTCCTGGAGAACAATCAAAGTGAGGGAGGAGTGATAATATGAACAGAATCAGCTGACCTGAACATTGAGAGATCACCAACTCAGGTCTGATATTTGGGGAACCTGCATAAGACCAAACTAGCCTCCCTTAAAATAGGTGACATTGGTACGACTGGGACAATATATGAGGTCACTGGCAGTGGGTCTAAGATCTAACACTAATGCACAAACTGACTTAGTGGAGCTCATTCTATATGGAGAGATAGCTTGCTCAGCCTAGACACAGGGATGTAGGAGTGGAGAGGTGGCATTTGTCCTACCTCAACCAGATGATGGGACAGACTTAGTAGACTTCCTGGGTGAGGCCTTACCCTCTCTGTGGAACAGATGAGAGGACAGGGGAAGTGCGGGGAGTGGGAGAGAAGGGAGGGGGAACTTGGATTGGAATGTAAAAAATAAAGTAATAAAATAATGAAAAAAAAAAAAAACCTCCCCTGGTGGAATGTGTATTCCCATGGTCTTAGCTAGGCATGCATGCTTCTCTTTTGCTCCCATTGTGTGTGTGTGTGTGTGTGTGTGTGTGTGTGTGTGTGTGTGTGTGTGTGTGTGTGTGTGTGTATGTGCATATGTCAGCATGGAGGTTCATGCATGTGGAAACTGAGGTTGATGTTCAGAATTATCCTCTATCACTCTTCCACCTTATTTATTGAAGCAGGGTCTCTCAATCAAATCCAGAGCTTGCTGATATGACTCATTTCAGTAGCCAGTATATACTCTGGGGATTCCCTGTCTCTAACTTTTGAGGCTGGAATTATATGGCCTCCCCATCTGCCCAACTTTTATATGGGTTCTGAGGATCCGAACTCCAGTCCCTAAGCTTGTGTGGTAAGAGGTTTAATCACAGGTTCATCTCTCCAGCCCACAGACACACTTCTTGATGCTCTGAAATGAGAATGCCGATATAAATTGATTCCTGGGATTCTGTGAGGACAAACACAGGCCAATTTTCAGAGGCCCTACTATGTGTAAGCTCAGTGCTAAGATCTCACTTTATCTTTGAAGTTATGTTCATCCAGGTCTTCTCATTTAACCCAAGGACATCAATACTCAAAGTAACTCGCATGCCAATGTGTAACTGAGGCAGCTTCCTCTGGGCTATGGTTCCCTCACTAAGGCAGGATATGGACAAAAAGCTGGGGGGGGTGTTGACAGTAATAGGGGAGGGGGAAGAACTGAGTTATGAAACAGTGTAAGTTGATTCTCACTGGGATTAAGTCTGTATAAATATGAGGTAGCTTTGGTAAGATGTATGTGGTAAGCCCTAGAAACATCACTAATTAAATATGGTAGGAAATCTTTTAAATGGATCAAAATATTATACCTGAAGTATTTAGCAAAAAGTAGAAATGGAGGGGGAAAGACATGAGACACATGGAAAGAAAAGTAAAATGGCATACTTAAATACAGTTGTATCAGTTGTCATCCTGAATGTGATATGATTAATCAGTGTGACCAAGATGCAGAGACTCTCTGTCTGGGCAAAAACTATATCTATGTTATACTGTCTGTCGACATCTCATTTGGGAACCAGACTTGAGAGTGAAAGAATGGAAAAATATATACCATGAAAACATAATTATAAGATGGGTGTAGTGGCTGTAATAATTAAGAAAAGGAGATTTTAAAACAAAATAAAATAAAAGGGACACTTTATACTACCAGGAAGTCACAAAAACTATGAACATATATTCACTTAACAAGAGAGTCCCAAAAAACATTAAGCAAAGGCTAAAATGCTGAGGGGAAATAGACACAGTACAACAATAGTTGGAACTTCAACACTCCATCTTCTATAAAATTAGGTAGAAGCCAAGTAAAGTGGCACATACTTATAATCCCAGGATTTGAGACATAATGACAGAGAGTCATTAGTTCAAGGCCAGCCTCCATTACATAGTGAGACCCTCTTACAAACCATAAATGAGCCAGCTAAGCAACAAACAACTAAGCAGAAGATAAAAAGCAAATACAAACCTCAAACAAAATTATAAATTACTTAGACCTAACTAACATAACACCTACCGAACACTCCACCTGACAGAATATGCATTCTTCTCTAGCACAATGGAACACTATCCAGAATGGCCCATATGCTAGGCTGTAAGATGAGCTCCAAATTCACTTAAAATGACCAAAATTGTACAAACTATGTTCTTTGATTACATGGAAGATTAGAAGTGAACAACACAAAGAAATTTGTCAAAATAATATATATGTAAAAATTAGGCAACACATCAAGAAATAAGTAACAAATCAGAGTGGAAGGCACAGGAGAAATTCAAGCATATGTTGAGATGAGTTAGAGTGAAAACCAACATATCAGACCCTGTGAAATGATGCTAATGCACTGCTTAAGGGATGTTTCCAGCTTCAAGTGCCTATATACTTTTAAAGAGATCTCAAGTCAACAAGTACTTTCTACCTTAGAATCCTTCAAAGAGAAGAGCAAACTGACGTCTGTGTAAGAGGAAAGGAAAAAAAAAAAAAAAAAAAAAAAAAAAGATTAGAACAGAAATTTGTTAAATTAGAGACAAAGACAATAAAGTCAGAGAGGCCATACTTTTTTTTTCTTTTAAATAAAGATGAACAACATAGAAGAGTCTTAAGGTAGAATGACCAAGGAAGGGAGGCTGGAAGAAGGTTCAAAATACTAAAAGTCAGAAATGAAAGAGGGGGCATTACTACAGACCCTACAGAAATACAGTTACCAAGGAATAATATTAGGAACAGCTAAATGTCAGGAAATGGGACATCTTGCATAAAATGTACAGATTCTTAAAAATATATAAAACTGAACAAATAGACCCAGGATAAATCAGAACCTCTCAACAGATTTATCACTAGTGAAGAGAATGAATGACTAATAAAAACAATCCCACAAGTAAAAATCAAGTACATTGGTGAAGTGTACCAAACATTTAAAGAATAACTTTTTTTTTGTTT